CGATAGGGGCATGATGAAGTCGCCTCTTGGCCCTTCAGCCGGGGCCCGGTGTAGGGGCTGCTAGCGGGCCGCCTGTCCCCCCTCCCCCCTTCGGTTGACGCCCCTCCTTCAGTTGGCGCACCTCCTTCGGCTGACGCACCACCTTCGGTTGACGCACCTCTGTATGAGGACGCCTTGTCGCTGGTACAGACTCGTCGCCAGGTTTGGCTGGCCCAGTCACCACTAACGGAGGCATGTAGGAGAGTCCTCCGTAGCGTACCAGTCGAGCCAGGGGAGCTGTTTCGGTCAGCTGCCCTGGAGGCACTGGAGCGTGCTGCCCAAGCTAGGCAGACCAGGCAGCAGCTCTCGGGTCTTCGCAGACCTGTGCCCACTCCCAGCAGGCCCAGGGGCCGCTCTAGCAGCCGCACTCAGCCGCCGGATTACAGGGGTGGTCTGCAGAGGTCTTAGCGGCCCACTCAACCACCTCCCAATGACTTTCGTGCCCCAGAGCCTTACCGGCGCCCCCCAAGAGGCTCCAGGGGCCGGGGGGCTGGGCCCTGAAATCCCGGGGGCAGTCGTCGGCTGCTTTCCCAGCAGCAGCTCAGTTACTGGGCGGTCTGTACTTCCGGCCCTTGGGTGGTTTTCACCTTAACCCAGGGGTACGGACCGCAGCTCTGGCCCCTAGCCTTCGGCTGGGTCTAATTGACAGTCGTCAGCGATCTGGCAGGGGCCCTAGCTCTGGCCCAAGAGTTGTTCGTCCTTCTGTCCAAGGACGCAATCAAGCCAGTAAGACCCTCTGCTTAGCCCAGGGGGTTCTACTCGGCGTACTTTCTCGTGAGCAAGAAAGTCGGCGGATTTCGATCTTGGACCTCAGAAGAATCAACAGATTCCTGAAGGTGCTGCCATTCTATATGCTGACCACTGCATATGCACAGGTGGATTGGTTCTCAACCGTGGACTTGAGCGATACCTACTTCCACGTGGGCCGTGCAAGATGGTGCCTTATATTCAGTTCCTCCGGCCCTTGGGCAGACTGGCAGCTGCCTCGGCCGCTGGGCTCTTAGGCCCGCTGTCATTGCGCCCCATGCAGATGTGGCTGAACAGCCTTCACTTGGACGCCAAGAGGCACAGGGAAGTCAGGGTGTCGCTGCATTGCCTCCACTCTCTGTCACGCTGGAAGGGCAGCGCCTATCTCCTGGTGGGCGTGCCCATGGGCGCCATCCCATCCCGCCAGGAGACCATCACCATAGGTGCATGCAGTGGCAGCGCCAGGGTATGGCTGGGGTAGGCTACAGCCATACCAAGAAATGGCTTAGCCCTACCTTAGCCCCACCATGAAAAAGCATGTTAAAGTAAGCATGTTGAGAACACGGATTGTGAAAATCTACCGGTCGTGTCCACAACACACAAACTGATCCTGCTGTAACAACAAGTGCATGTTACTGACGCAATATGGTTGAGACCATTCGGGCTTATGCTAGAGGGGTGTAAGGAATAGTCTAAGTAGTGGGGGAGTTTTATACACTAAAGGTGTGGTCATTCTCTCGCGTTATAATATCAGCGCGGCCGCGGTCAGATCAAAATGCCTCCGAATGCAATTTGAACAGACCTACAGCCAATCAGAGCAACGAAACGTTGGGTCTGCTGCGTCACGCATTACTGATTCGTCACGTTCACAGTGAAAAGTCCCCAAACTCGCGCTTAATAAATTGCAGACAGACAGCAGAACTTCTAGGATTCATTGTATATTTCGGATGGATAGATTTGTTCTTAAACGCCCTCGCATTGAGGTACAAGTCGAACAGGTGCCAGAGTCACACGACCCACCTGAAGAGTGAATAGTGAGTTTTGAATATATTTTGTAATAATGGGTCATTTGAAAAAGTGTTTTGTATGACAATAGAGATACAGGCTGTCTCTCTCTGTTTACCTGTGTCTCTGTCTCTCTCCCTCACTCTCCCTCTCTCTCTCTCTCTCTCCGTGTCAATTCTATATGCCAACTTTTCTTGTTTCTGCCGCTGCGTAGCATGTTGTAACAACGTGGAATTAGCAGAATAGGCTATTGTATTGTTTAACTCACACCTGTTGCTCTCGATGTAATTTAGCTGATAAAAGGAGACTAATAAAAGCCTCACGTGTGCGTTTCACTGTCAAGGGGTGCGATATAGCGTGTATGTAATACTGACTTGAGCCCCACCACTGTATGGGTTAGCCCTACCATAGATTACCGCATGTCTCTCAGGTTGGGGTGCAGTGTGGCAGGGCAGGACTGTTCAGGGTCAGCGGTCTGCCCAGGAGAGTGCGCGCCAGGTCAATGTGCTAGAGCTTCGGGCTGTGCAGCTTGCACTCACGCACTTTCTACCCCAACTGGGGGGCAAGAATGTGCGTGTTCCTTGGGGACAGCATGTACGTTGTTGCTTAGACAACAGTCCCTTTTAGATAGTGGACGTTCTCACTCCACTCTGAATTTATGTGGCTGCAATTTCTGCCCGACATGTTCGGGTCGCCGGCGTCACGGCGGGGTGCCACAGGTCGGTGTCTCTCTTCCTGAGAGGGGCTTTACGGCAGCGTCCCCCTAGCACCCCGAGGGCTCCGGCTTGGGACCTGCCCCTGCTGCCCTATCATCTCCTCCCTTCGAGCCCCTGGCCCAGGTGGGGCTTAGGTGGCTGCCCACGAAGGCAGCATTTCTGCTTACCATAGCCTCAGGGAAGCGAGTCGGGGAGTTGCATGTCCTCTCCATAAACAATACATGCCCGAGGTGGGACTCTCAGGCGTTGCCCTTTGGGCAAATGTGGCATTCCTGCCCGGGGTCCTTCCACAAACCCACTTCAATCAGCCTGCCCAGCTGGCACGCTTTGACATTCAGGAGTACGGCACGTCGAAGTTGCTGTGCCCTGGGGGTGCCCAAAGGGCATATATCAAGGCTACTGCCTATATACGGCAGTAAGAGCAACTCTTGATTTTGCCCTGGCGGCACTAAAGGAGGTTATGCCCTCTAACCAGTGGCTGCCCCACTGGGTTATCGATACCATCTCACAGGCTTACGGGGCCAGTGGCCGCCCCTTGCCATCAGGCTGAGATGCCACTCTACAAGGAGCATCTCAACATATTGGGCTGCCCTGAGGGTGGTGCCCCTGGAGACCAGCTACGCCGCGGCGTCGTGGGCGTCTTCTGGCACATTCTCCAGTTGTCATCAGGTCAATGTCGCCACTCCCCATTCTTTGGGCGTGGTCCTTTTGCCGAGCTCCGCTGCTTCCAGTGGTGAGCAAGGGCTTGGATTCTTCATGACATTGTTGGTATATGTCATCCAGTGCTTAAAGCACCGCCTCTGGCGGTCAGTAGGGACGAAATAGAACGATAGTTATGGCTGTAACTACGGTTCTATGAGTCCCGGATGACCGCCAGAGTTCCCTGTCACTCAGAATTCTTGTGTGCTCGCGAGAAGATTCTGGGAACAGATCCTCTGACGACACCGGCTAATATAGCCGGTGTCACGTGGGTCACAGGTGACTTTGTTGTTATTGGTACTCGAGCTGCGCATGCGCGCGATGGACATATCCAGTGCTTAAAGCACCGCCTCTGGCGATCATCCGGGACTCATAGAACCGTAGTTACAGCCGTAACTATTGAGTGATGACATCATCGTGTTCCATGACACAGGTGTTTATATGTGAGCTAACGAGGTGTGCAGAGATCACAGGTTTCCATTGTTCTGAATGAGAGATAAACCTCTTACATGTGAACGTTTTGTGGAAGAACCGTAACAGATATCTGTGTACTTTCGGGTTAATAATGTGGCCTTTTTGGCAGTTTAACTAAAGGTGTGCGGCTGCTGCCGTGAGGAAATATCAGCCTGAAATTACAATGGGCTTTAATGGAGGCATGTTGAACGTTTTTATCACTTCATGCCCTCAAGAGGCATTTTGTTGAATTATTTTGCTTAATTATTTGTCATTTTTCAAGCTACGAGATGTTTTCCTACGTTTGTCATGATAAATTATGTCTCAGGAATGTAGGGTTTGGGAATTATGGCAGTTTAAAAAAAATATATGAAGGCAAATTTCAAGATTTCCTACACTCTAGCTGTGACATCTCGCACTCGAGTTAATGTTAAAATCTGAAGAAAACCTCTTTACCAAGGTCTGAACAAATGTTAATATCTCTAAAAGTAAGAATCAGATTTAAAAGTTGTTTCACACGAATAATGTCAGAAAGATGTGTAACATTTTAAAGTTGGAATGAGGTTTCTGAGTGAAAGTATGAATGAACAGTTAGCAGTTGAAGTCGCATGAAGATTTGTTGAAGTTGAAGATTTCCTCCATTGTTAAAAATGTGATGTATTATGGGATGTATCTCTGGAATTATGAAAGTTATGAATGAGCAAAGTAATAGCCATCGATTCCCGACCGAGCTGAACGTTTTGATGTTTGAACGGAGTTTCTGCGATGTTCAATGCGGGAGGAGAAGAGGGCCAAAATACCGGCGGAATAATAATAATAAACTTTTCGTGCGTAGAATAACAGATAGTTGGAATGCTGTTACATTTTAGTTCTACAATTCAATTTTCTGTATCTGTGTTGTATGGGTTTCATCTGCCGCGGTTCTTTAGGAGACTATCAGCCGGTCTGAATCCAATGACTATGATGATGGGATAGTTCTAGTCACAGTTTATGATGGACTGAGTTATGAAAGTGAATATAGGGTCCATTTTTACAAGCCTCATGTCTTCTGAACATTCTGACACTGTAAGACATGTTAAGAGAAAATTAACAAACTGTTGTGAGATCTGGCAACACAGAGCATTAACATTGGACAGCCACTAACGGCAGAGCTCGCTGATATTCGTAAAGCTTAAATGATTGTTAGCTGTGTACATTTCTAATGATACTCCATTGGTGCCGATTGTAATATGCTGTCGTTACTTTTTTCGTACCCTAAGAGAATGTGTCTCCTAAACAGGCTGTGAGCCGGCAGTGAGTGCGCCTCATCAGGTTTCTGAGTGTCCATGTGTTTGTTTGCAGGCGGACTACGCCATGTTCAGCGGGACTCACGTGGAGCGGGACTTCGTGGAGGCTCCATCTCAGATGTTGGAGAACTGGGTGTGGGAGAGGGAGCCTCTGCAGAGGATGTCCAAGCACTACAAGACCAACAGCGCCATCCCAGAGGAGCTGCTGGACAAACTCATCAAGTCCCGCCTTGCCAACACCGGTGGGTACCACACATGAAATAGTACTTTTGTACCAAGCAAGTATTCCACTTTAACTGTGGGTAATGTTGAATTCCAAACCCTTAATGTGACTGTGCCCCTCGTGCAGGGCTGTTCAACCTGAGGCAGATCGTCCTGGCTAAAGTGGATCAGGCTCTGCACACCAGGAACGGACTGGATGCTGCAGAGGAATACGCACGCCTCTCTCAGGACATCCTGGGAATCCCTGCTTCACCAGGTCACTTTTTAAATGCTGCAGATGATTATTCCACACATGTTAAAGAACACAAAAGGCAGGCCACTAGCTCCCAAATACAAGTGTCATAATAACGTTGTACCTTAAACAAGCCCCATTATGCTAATTATCAAGTGTATATTAGCGTCTCTACTGGGACATGGCTCCATGCTTTCATGTTCAAAAAGCTCTTTCTTTGTCTCATACTGCCTGTGCTGCAGCACCTCTTTTCACCCTCTGTCTGAAACCAGAGCCCAGTCTGCTCTGATTGGTTAGCTGGCCAGCTCTGTTGTGATTGGTCAACCGTTTAGAGATCTGTCTGAAATGTACAATGTGTTGGAGAGCATAAAAGCAGAAGTAAACCAGTGTGTCCAATGGAGGCGTTTCAGGCAGGGGGGGGGGGGGGGGAGTGTGTGGGAGAGAAACTCCCTCTGGAGGGAACACAGGGATTTCAGCCTTTGTAGACCAGGGCCCCTTTAATCATGTCAAGTTTTGCTTTCTGAATGTTGTTGAATTATCTCTCATTTTGTTCCAGTTGTAGTAACAAAAGTCGTGGCAAGATGCACGTCAAATAATTTCTGAAAAAAACCTAGCAATAGTACAAACTAGAGGAAACACTGAGTTCACTGCCGCCTGGTTTCCATCCTCTCTTCTCTCTCTCCCCGTTGACTTCTCTCCGCAGGAACCAACATGCCGGCGACCTTCGGGCACCTGGCCGGCGGCTACGATGCTCAGTACTACGGTTACCTGTGGAGCGAAGTGTTCTCCATGGACATGTTCTTCGCTCGCTTCAAACTAGAGGGAATCATGAACCCGAAGGTCAGATCTGAGAAAAATCAAATAACTCATTTTAATCCGGGTGATATGATATGAAGGAAAATATTTGCTCACTACTGATTAAATGAAACTGAACCAAAACAAGCAAGTAAAGCTGGGTACATTTACTTTAGTACTGGACTTAAGTATATTTTGAGGTACTCATACTTTACTTGAGTATATTTAGAATTCTCTACTGCCTTTATATTCATACTACCCTAAACCTCAGAGGGATTTCTTAGTTGTACTACACTATACTGCACAATAATGTGACGGCTTTGGTTATTTGCCAAATTCAAAATATTGTATTCTTTCTTCCAGATTAAAACAAATCTGTATGTTGGTGAAAATCTTTGTTACATAAAATGGAGATACATTATTATCCCAAAAGTAAACCTTTTTAAAAGCTTGCAATCGAGAATATATGTTTTTTGAGATGTTAAAAGTGAAAAGGCTATTTATCCTGAGATAAATTAGTGTGCAGAAGTTTCACTAGTAGAAGAGTGTAAATATAAGCCTAGCTTAGCACAAACACTGTTGTCTTTAATTGCTGTCTCCTGATTGGCCCTCCAGGTTGGTATGGACTACAGGAAGTACATCCTGCGGCCTGGCGGCTCAGAGGATGCCTCCGAGATGTTGAGGAAGTTCCTCGGGCGGGAACCGAAACAGGAAGCGTTCCTGCTGAGTAAAGGACTGACCGTGGAGCTGGACGCCAGCACGCCGTGTCCCTGCTGACCAATCACAGCAGACCGCTCCACACACAGTTCACAGAGAACAACGGACTGATGTTTTCTAAAAGAAAAATAGTGACAAAATGTTTCACGACATGTACACAAATTTGCATCAATAAAAGGATTTGAGGATATCTTCTGTGTCTTGCTTTACAGATGAGTGGTAAGGGCCAGTACACAAACCCTTCTGTCATCTGAGGGTCTGCATGCTTTTTATTTAGTTATTGTCCTAGCAGAAAGTTGATACAACAATTCTCAATTTCTGTTTGGTTCCTCTTGCTGAAGTTAAAGGAATACTTTTTTTTTTTTTCAACAACTCACCCTTTTGTATGCAAAATTCCTAAAGGAGACCTCTTGAATCCACGGTGAACGAAGAATCCTGGAAAAAGGGGGACATTTTTTGATGAAACAGGGACTGCATTTAACAGCAGACTTAAAAAAGAAAACGAAACTTGTGCAGAGGTCTCGTATATCCAGTTGTTTGCTCACTACTACACAAACACATTTACTAACGGCACTCTGCAAGCTAAGACTGTTTATGCTGACTTGTCTTTAATGGTAGTTTAAGTAAAAATGCATGTTTGGGAAGTAGCGAGCATATACTGAATGAATGACACTTCGATTATACTGCACAAGTAGTGTGAGAGTTTGTGAGCGTGTGAGCTGATATCGTTTAGTCGAGTCAAAGCTATTTACATCAAATCAACAAAACTTCACTGAGGGGGCAATTCAAGAATTTTGAGTGAGAAATCAATATTTAAATGTTTTTTTGGGTGAACAGAGACAGACCCCTTAGGGGTCATATGGTAAGACACACGTGGTAATTAGTGAGCAGGTTAGTGAAACGAGTGTTGTAGGGATTGGTGATACATCATAAGCTCCGTCGAATGGTAACTGATATGGGCAGCTCCACTAACATTACACTACATGTTCAGAATTTGTTATCTGAAAGATTAGCAGATCATTTTGCGCTGTTTCCGTGTGTGCAGTTTATCCAATTCATTCACACATTTATATTTTTTCTGCAATTGTAAAATAAATATTTTTTAAGTTAAAGCATAAATACTACCATGTGCAAGTACTCCATTACAAGTACAATCCCTTCCTAAAATCTTCCTTTAGTAAAAAACAAACAAAGGTATCAAAAGTAAAGGTAGTCATTCTGCAAATTATATTTTATTAGAATATACTAACTGATGAATCAGTTGAGCTCATTTGAATGCTCTGCTCTTTCCACACACTTTGTTGGTTGCTCTACCCTTACAGCCCAAAATAGGAGTTCCTGATCCCAGTATGAGAGTTGGGAGAGAGGGAGTTGTCAGTCGGCTACAGAGGGAGTGTCTCCCAGCTGATGTAACGTCCTCGGAGAGCTTCAGGTCAACATCACTGCTTTTTAAAAAAACAGCCTGAAGGTAAATTTGCTGAACAAACATGACAGAGAGCAGATTTAACATAATCAAAAACAACTCTTCCCACTGCATACGTTGAGAATCAAACTGCTATTATTATATTATATCTCCCTCGTTTAAAATGTTTTGTGCATGAATATTTCAGTAGGGAAAAATCTGAAAATAAATACATATTTGAATAGCAGAATTGCTTCTGCTTAATTATCACTGTTTTTTATAATATTGTGAATATTCTGGTTAGGGAATTTATTTTAATCTGGTCCCCTACCTTAGACCTGATCTGTGACTGGCAGTAGAAAACACACAATGTCAGCTGGATGTAAATGAACTGACGGATCTCTTGTTTCTAATGCACCACAAAACTTGACAAATAAAAATAACTGAATAACATTTTGAAAAAGGTAACACAAATGATTTACAGTAATGTATTTTCCTAGTTACAAGGCATCATTGTTATAACATTGAAACCAGACAAACACATCTTAAAAACAAATAACTGATATTTGTGGTTACTAAAAAATAGACATTTTCTATTTTTGAATCAATGTGACAATTAATGATATGCACTAGAATGGGATGATAACAGATAAAGTACTAGCCCATCACATATATGATCAGGTGCAGCTGCATTGTTATCCTGAATGTCATCATCATGCTCAGTGTAATGAGCATCGAGCAGCAGCTGTGGGCGTGGCCCCTGGGGACCCCCAACTCCCACCTGCCCCCGCTCTGTAAACACTTCAAAGTGTGAGTTCAAAGTAAGCTGATCTGAAACAATGTTGTAGTAAGTAAGTCCAGCTGGTCAAACACACATCAAAACCAGAGAGAAAAATAAAAGTATTTCTTTACAGCAACATTTAAATGTCTATCTGTGTTTAAAATAACTATCAGTGTGTCTCACAGAGCCCCAGGATGTGTGTGTTTATCCTAGCTTAGCATAACAACTGCAAGCATTGGAGAACTGATAAAAGAGACAGTATAAATAGTACAGACTCACCTCAGAGTGCGTTTTGATAGCAAACTATGGCTAATTACCAATCCATCCTGTCTTCAGCTGCGTTTAACTATACTTAAGTCAAGCTAAGTCGAGCTTACAAAGCTAACAGGATGTGAATGCTAATGCCAAGTTAAACCTCTGAAGACCAAGTTACAAGCTAGCAAGCTACAGGTAAATAAGATCCAACAGGAACTACACTCTTCACAAACCACAAATATGTAAAACTACAAAAAAAGCTATTGTAGGCTAGTTATACAGTGTAATCACAATGCTAACTGCGGGGGATTTCCCAAATATTTGATTACAATTTTTTTTTAAATTGTTGTTGAACTTAGCTAACAATTAGGTTGAGCATCACAATGGTTTGGTTCGTGTTAGCAGTCAGACAGATGCTTCAAGTTAGCTAGTTAACATTTAAGTCCAAGCCATAAGTTTGTGTTGTATCTAGGTTAATGTTTCAGTGGTTCCCGTTGGCCATGATTTCAGCATAGCCTCATGAATTTCATTACATTGATTAAATGCTGCAGCCAGGGCCGCCTTAATGCACGGGCTGACCTGGGCTGAAGCCCAGGGGCCTACGGAGATCGGGGGCCTATCATGAGCCAATAATTTAAAAAAAATCAGATAAACAAAGTCTTGGCTTTCAGAATATTAAACTTGTTTCGGCAAATTCAGATGATAAATACAACTTTGAAGCTTCTAACGTGTTTTCCCCGGGAAACAAACACAATACAAACAAACGCAAAAATACACACACACATACACACACCACAAATTCAGCAACATATGGCCTCAATGTCAGGTATCAGTAGATGAGAATGATCATTATCTCCGGTGGATTAACACAAACCTAGTTTAGTTATGTAAAACGATGCACAACACATTTAAACCAACATCATATTTCTGCTGTGTTCGCTTGGATCTTTTGTGCAACAACCCTGTCAAAATCCCTCAACCAGTAGGAGGCCTGGTTTCCTTGCGGGTGCGTTCGCTTTACTTATGGTGCGTTCGCTTTACTTATGGTTTATAAACTACCGCCCTCCACTGCTTTATGTACTTCACTTGTTTAATTGTTTTTTTTTTGGGGGGGGGGGGGGGGGTAAGCACAGTTAGTATATATTTATAAAACGGACAAGTCAAATCAAGCAATCTGATGATGGTGATATAATGAGCGTATATCCCGGGTATAATTGTAGTTACTTTTCACAAATCTCCGCGTCTGAGAAAAGCTACAACTGTTACATTACGTCCGTTACGAAACTAACTAACTAACAAAGCTCAAGATGGAAACATTTAAGGTTAACTTCGACCTCCGGGGTGGCCTTACTATGGAGGAGTAGATTGAGAAGTGCCTATCTCCAGAAAAAAAAGCACCTAAACGACGACAATGCTGTCTGTCTAATATGTTCGCTAGCTGTTATTGTTGTTGCATAGCAACCACCTCGCACTATGATTTTTTAGTCCCAGTCCACCACTGAACGTAGCTATTATGTAAGGTGCTGGTATACTAACTGTGCTTCCCCCCCCAAAAAGTGTTACATTAAGTGAAGTACATGTTATGTTATAAAGCCGTTAGCCGTGGAGGGCGGTAGTTTATAAACCAAAGAATAACCGCCCTTACGGGACGCTCTAATAAGTAAAGTGAACGCACACGCAAGGACACCAGGCCTCCTATTGGTTGAGGGATTTTGACAGGGTTGTTGCACAAAAGTTTCGAGCGTGTACAGAAGAAATCTGAGAGCAGACATTTCACGAGCGCACAGAAACAGCCTGAGTGCGAGGAGAAGGTTTTAAGCTGGAACACAGGCAATCTGTAAGCAGCAACAGTTTGAGCAGAAGCATAGCCAATCTAAGCGTAAGCAGGCACTATTTGAGTGCGAGGACAGGGTTTGAGGGAAATAAATCGATAAAGTATGCTCTCAAATTTAAATACCACGCTCTTGAATAAAGATAGGGAATAGGGAAGCTACAGAGCTACATAACACACAAGGGGATGGGTAAACCGGAAAAGCATGACATGGGACTTTTAAATCTCCTAACAATGTTGTCAATTTTAGACATAGGCTTATTATATTTACAGCCCTTAATAACATTCATTTTCTGGGCTCAGTATGTGTCTTGGCTGTTTTCGTTGTGATCGCTAAATTCACCTTGTTTATAATATTATCACCGTTCCAATCAAACGAGTGCTTTTGTTTTGAAATCACTTCCGTGAGTTTCGCCCCGCCCCTCGCTCCAATGACCATTAGACCATTTAGTAAGGTAAAAAGCAAAAACGCCTCGCAGACACTCTTCCGTTTAATTTTTTAATAAATAAAGAAAAACAAATGAACCGTACACAGATTGAAGACCCATCCATGACCCATTTTCAGTGTCCTGGCTGAGGGAAGGAGACTACCTGCCAAGATTTTAGGGTACATGGCCCCTCTCCTCGATGCAGGCAAGCAGAGAAACACCCCAAAGCATAACGTTTCCACCTCCATGCTGACGGGGGGATGGTGTTCTGGGGTTATACTCAGCATCTCTCTTCCTCCAAACACGGCGTGTCCAGTTGATGCCAAAGATCTCGATGTTGGTCTCATCTGACCTCATCACCTTCTACCAAGCCTTCTCTGAATATTCAGATGTTCATTGTCAAACTTCAGACGGCCTTTCATGTTCTTCTTGAGCAGGGCGCCTTCAGGCACTGCAGGATTTGATCCATGATGGTGTAGTGTGTTCCCAATAGTTTTCTTGGGTCTGTGGTCACAGCTGCCTTGAGATCATTAACAAGTTCCTCCGTGTAGTTCTGATCCCTCACCTTTCTCATGATCATCAAAACCCCACAGGGCCAGATCTTGTGTGGAGCCCCAGCCCGAGGGCGACTGATGCTCATTTTGTGTTTCTTCCATTTCTGAATAATGGCACCAACAGTGGTCTCCTTCTCACCAAGCTGCTTTCTGATGGTCTTGTAGCCAGTCCCAGCCTGGTGCAGGTCTACAGTCTGGTCCCTGGGGTCCTTAGACAGCTCTTTAGTCTTGCCCATGGTGGAGAGGTTGGAATCTGATTGATTGACTTATGTAACCGGTCAGTGGGAGCCAGGATTCTTGTTGGTTGCAAGGGGATCAAATACTTATTTCCCACTTATTCTTTTAATCTTTTATATAATGTAAATCTCTGGATTTTCTTTGTGATATTCTGTGTCTTATTAGTCAAATAAACTTACCATTAAAATGGTAGAATGTTAATTTCTTTGTAAGTGGGTAAACTTACAAAATCGTCAAGGGATCTTATTTCCTCCACTGTATAGCAGCCAATAGGAACTGTAGACTCCAAGCAGCTGTCAGGAGGGAGAAGTGGTTGTCATGGAGGAACTCTGAGGGAAACAAACAGACTACAATTCAGCTATAAGGGAGGTAAGGCACCCAGAGCAGTGTGGAGAAGAAGACAGACGATGGCAGAAAGTCCAGGAGCAGCAGGACTCGTCAGCCTGCAGGACGTCCTGAGAGGACGCTCAGACGGAGCTCAGAGGAACAGAAGCAGCTCCAACATGGTCCGAGTGTTCATCAGCTCCACATTCACAGGTCAGAGTTCATTAACTCATGTTTATGCTCCCTACATTACAATCAACTTTTAGTGCAATATATAAATCCTTTGTTAAAGGCAAAACATGTCAAAATACAATTCTGGATGTATTATTCATGTTGCCTCAGAGATGTCACAGGCTACAGACTCTTTGTTTGTTCCTTAGAAAACCATGTCATGATTAATTATTTTTCAATGACTCATATCGGATCGGATATTCTTTCAAAATCACCGGACTTAACAATACATTTCTCCGATCAGATATGAGCATCGAGAGGAAAGCCCTGCTGGAGAAAGCTTACCCAGAAGTCCTTGCTTTCTGTCGCAGTCTTGGACTGGTGTTTGAGGTCCGTTTCCAGAAATCCAGTAACTGATAATATGATATATATGTAGTTTCAGTAAATACCTGCTCCTTTTTCACCGAGGTCACTTCCTGTTCAGGTAGTGGATCTGCGTTGGGGAATTCGAAGCGTTCCGTCCGGAGACCACGAGGCCTGCGAGATCTCCCTGCAGGAGATCCAGACCTCCAAGAGGGTCTCAGCAGGTCCAGCTTTCATCGTGAGTGTCTCATCCTACTCAAATTATCATTCCGATTTTTACCGTCTTGTTTTGATAATATCAAAGATGGCTTACTTGAGTTTAAAGTAGTCACAAATTCTTTAAGACATATTTTGACTGATTAGTTTCTATCTGCATCAGCATGTACTGTCTCTTACCTCCCTAAACTCACACAATCATGAAATCTACATTTTCTCATGCAGTTTTCCATTCCTGGAAAAATACAAAATAGAACAAAATATTTGTATATTGTTTGTAGATTGCAATTCTTTTTTAATATTCATTTCTAATTACATTTCTAATTAGTTGTTTTCCATTGGAGCGATATGATGCCCTTGATTTAGGGCTGCTAATACTATTTGATTAAATGATAATGATAAATATGCTAGCTGTTCCAATTGTTTGGTAACATGTGCCATTGTGGCAAAAAGAAGGCCCAAAGTGACTTCTTCAAATGTTGTTCCAGTCAAGAGTCTGAACATCCGAAATGTTATGTCTACTGTGCTATACAGTACGGTAAAACAAAGATAAACAGCAATTGGCGAAACAAACAAAAAAGTTTTAAAAAAAGAAATAAATTATTTTATGGATAAGGAAATGTTTTTCCGAAATAGGTTTTATTTTTTGTCCGATGTCCTCCGTTACAAAAAGTGAGGGAGAAATAACTAAGAACATTTATAAGATGGCCTGAGTCGCAGAAACATATATTTTTAAGTGCTTTTATTTACAAAAAAAGGGTGAAAAAGTGAAATTACACGGACGTCCAGTCCAAAAATAGAAAGGTAAAAATAAACATATATACAGCGTTCATAACATTTTTCACAGATACCTCTCTGCTCTACAGCCAACGTCAGACTCCCCCAAACATCAGTGGCCACTGGCCAGAGGCTTATGATAAGCTCCTCCCCATTGGCCAACCAACTATTTATCCAATTAATTAATGGAACTCTAAATAACTACAAATGTATTCAAAAGTATCTTAAAATAAATAAACACAATACATTAAAGAAGTCATATGCTACTATTTTAAACAATTAAAGCCCTAAACAATTCTAAGAAATGATGATCACCCATGCCCATGCAGAACATGGTGGTCCAGTTGGCAACACCTGTTTTAAAGGATTGAGCCTCTATTTAAGGCAGCACTTTTTCTGTCTAACTCATGAACTGTGATCGAGAGGGACAGCAGGTTACTTTGGCACATAGGAAAATAAAAATAAAGCGGCCGGCCCATAGGGGCACTAGGGGGGCCGCCCCCCTCTTCCCACATTACAAATAAATGTATTTTTAAAAAAAACATTTAAAAAAAACATTTATTATTTTTATTTTTAATAAACAAGGTAAATATTATATAATTGGTATCAGTAAAATGTATAATCTACAATAAAATCTCGTTTAAAATTGTGTTACGATGTCTAAAGTTACTGATAAGTCACATGTTTCCTGCCTGGCCTTGCCTGTGTATCATTGCCCTCTCTAGTCTGGGCGCTATGCACAGCGCCCAGACGAGAGTGCAGCAAGTGCAGCAGAAGCCAACTGTTGCTATCTTTAAACTATGCCACCGAAACATAATTTCAGCCAATCAGCGTCGTCAAATCTGATGGTCACAGATGGTCTACGTCAGCACCCGGTGCAGTCTGTGAGTTGTTTGGACTTGTATCCAAGGAGACAAAACAGGAAGCTGTCATACACTCTGGAAGCTATCATTAGCAGCTAATATGAACACTCTGTTTTTGACATAAAAATAGAATTATGGATCATCAATACATTTTTTAAAGTGACAGACACATTGGATTAACCTATGGTCCAGCCACGTTTTTCTCGTTTTTGATCAGAATAACAGCTAAAGGTGAGCATATCTCTGTGTTTTGCTACCTAAAGCTACGTCGTGTGATGTCTGTATTTGCTTCCCCTGTCGCGAGTTCATCCCCTATCAGTGATGATACTTATATTTCTAGAATCTCAGCTTGTTAGCTAAGCTTGTTTGTGCATATCCGATAAGTATATCGATTGATTTATACATAGAGTGCGTTAGCATTTTTTCGCTCAGGGCTCATTTAGACGCTTTTTGTGAGACTTGTGTTTTGTTTCGGTAAACATGGTTCATATCATCAGTTAACTGAGTTTCTTGAATGAATAGGACAAATGAATAGTTTATTACATTTTAAGAAGCCCTGAGACACAGTTTAGTGAGGAAAAAAACGGGGGGGGGAAAGCCCCTTAACAGGTTAAATGGGAATTAAATCATTTTAAGTAATTTTGAGTGTTACCAAAGCCCCGGTGTTCTGCAGTTTGTGTGGGCCTACTGTACTGTTGCACAGTTTATGTAGAAACTATGTCCAGAACAAGGTGTTTGGAAGTTTTGGAAGATTCATAGCTAACCACACTGAAGATTATGGAGGTATTGATCAGTCTTCTCATATTTTTAAGCCTCAAATTGTCCTTCCCCCCCTCTAACATCACCAGAAGTCATAATTTAAGGGGTAATTTCTCCATTTTTTCCCCCCGGACCCCCCTAGTATTGTTTGGTCACCATTTCCACAGCCCCACCTAAAATATTTTCCACCAGCCGCCACTGAAAATAATGAGGAAAACTGTCTTGAACAAAATAATGATTTGAGTGATAATTTTCCAAATGTCCAGCAATCATTCAACTGTCAAGTAATTCAACCCAGTCTCATGGCATTTCGTGTTCACCAACACGATTTTTAATCTATTGATTCGTGTTCACCAACACGATTTTTTATCTATTGATTCGTGTTCACCAACACGATTTTCCCCTTTTTTTCCTGTTGCACAGCACGATTTGAAAAGCAATGTATTTCTACTGGTAATGACGCTCATGAAAGCACGGCATTCGTTTGTGTCGGCTGCCCTTAAAGGCAATGTGAGCGTCCATTCCCATTGGATAACGGATAATTGTACACCCGGAAGTAAGTATTCCCCTTACTGTCGATTGATTTTACAGTGATATCTGCACTACTCATCGACTAAAAAACACCAGATTATCCTTGTTAATTACACAACATTGATTGGTTTAAATTGTGTGCAATGCTTTTGTATTTTTCCCCTTCGATTCGGAGAAACAAATATTTTTTCGGAGTAAAGGATGGCAGAAGACACTACCCAGAATCCCCAGCTATCGTTTGGACTACACCATGTGCTCTGTTTGACAAACCCCGTGATAGTCCTCAAGCTCTGTGATTGGAGAGTGTGCTCCGAGGGTTACGCCGAGCCTCGAACAGCACTTGAAATGGGATGGAACCACGGCAGACTGTCCAAAACTGGATTTGAACGGGTCCACCGCGTCCCCCCCTCCCCCACCCCGTCCCCAGAACTACACATGCTGGCTATTGTGTTTCGCAACATGTTCTCTATCTATGGCACGTCTCTACTGGGAATTGTAGTTTTAAAAGACGTTTTCGTATTTCCCATAATAAGAAGTTGCCGGTATTAAACTGTGTACATCCCTGGAGGTTTAGGGGATAGGAAACACTCAAATTTAAAACATATAATTAATAAATGGGTGAAAATGGCTTGTGCCCATAATGGGCAGCATTAATATATATACACACATGCCAGCTAAGGTCAGAAGAGCTTTATTTAACAGCTGGTCTTATGTTTGTGACCCCTGTTGTTAATTGATAACATTACATTACATTAATTGATAAGCCTGAAACATGCACTTGTTAAGGTTCAGAGGCACATTTTGCAAATATGGCAGTAGTCATCGATCAGCTTAAGATAAGATATACTTTATTGATCCCAAGTTGGAACATTTGCGTTACATCAGCATGTGTAACAGTTGTAAATATGCAGTGGTGTTTATTTGTAAATCATTTAGTATAATCACACAAATTCTGTGTTTTATATTTAACAATTCAGTGTTCTTTATTTATTGATTGTTCAATACCTGACAAGGCCGGAGATGAAATATCTACATACATCTTATAAGAGTATAATACATTATGTATAATATCAGTTAAAATAAGTGCTTCAACATAGTTAACATTGCTGGAGGTATGCACAAATATTGATAGATGTCTTGTAATGCACTATTGAGGAACCTGCAACCCAAGTTTTTCATTCAATGCATAACTACACCATAGTTGTGTAGGCCTACATGATATGTCAATAAACCTTAGAAAATCTTGAAATCTTGAAAGGGATGTGCAAAATAGTCATTATATACAGTCTTTAATTAACTATTAGTAGAGAATAACGAGTAATGAATATACTTTATAGGGATCCTATCAGCGACGTGCAGTCAGGGGAGGCAGGGGAGGCAGAGCCTCACCTGTCATACTCCTTTTAACGGAAAAACAACTAAAGAAAAACTAAATAGTAATAATAATAAAATGTCTCCACTGATCTGTGTTGTAACTTGTAAATGTGATTTATGTATGATTCCAATCGCTTTTTATAGTCAAAATCAGCAAATTTGCAGAGCTCCTCCGCTACAACTACGGGTAGCGATGATAAGTGAGGCAGGGACGAGCTCTGCCTCACGTAAGCCCACAGTACTGGCTGGAGCGCGGGCACTAATTTAACGCGGGCACTTATTTTGTGAGCGCGCTCAAGCCAGTTACTGTGTGGTGAGGTGAGGCACAGATGAGATCTGCCTCACCTCAGAATGCGTCACCCCACAGAAACTGGCTGGAAAGCGGGCCCTAAGCGCATGCCTGTTACCATCTCACTGTATTTCACCAATGTAATGTTTGTAGATCCCTTTATTACATTTATCCTCGCCATCCATAGTCTCTAAATAACTTATTTCACGTATGATATTTAGGCTCGCTGGTCTCATCATACAACGGCAATAAAAAAAGCACCAGGGGAGGCAGCCATAACCTCTGCCGCACTGAAGGGGGCGCAAGTGAGCCCACAGGTTCTTGTTGCTACTGTTATTCTACGCAGAGACGGTAGACGCGAACAACAAACTAGACTTTTGAAACTAGAGGAAGATAAGGAGGACTTTTACAAAAAAGTAATAGAGATTGTTGTCCAGAAGGAAAGCATGGACTTCATCTTCAAGTCAAGGTAAGACCCCAATTGTAATGAAAATGGGATCTTACTAAGAAAGAACAATCCAATATTTAGATTTTGGGTATCCTTTTGTTGAACGGTCTGTTTAAAATGAATCGAAGCATCAGACTAAAAAAGCTTTTGAAAATAACCGAATATGTCGATTATGGTCAAAATATGATATTTGTAAATCTGACTCTGAAAAAGTCAGTGCCTCACCAGCCATGAACCTCACCGCACGTCACTGGATCCTATTAATATCTAATAATAAAAATAATGAAATTCAATAACATGCTTTAACCACTAGGTGTCCCTTTATATCAGCTGTGCACCTTTATGGTGTAAATACAGCTTATCTACCAATTGGATCAAATATAAAAGTCAGCCGAATTAGTGTTGATACTGCAAGGAGACGTATTGTGTGAAAAGAAATGTAAGATGTTGTTTAATGGCTGATATATTTATGATCCATGTCACGTTTTCAGTTCCTCATGTTCCCAACAGTGGTTCCCAAACTTTTTGTGCCCAAGGCACACCAAAGGACAAGTAAAAATCTCAAGGCACACCTATTGTGCAGAATAGCCCTTATAACACGTGTTATCAATCATATCATGTAAAATATCTGTAAATGTGCATAATTATTTACTAATGCCAAATAAAATGTGACAAAGACAACTATATTACTCATGAAATATTTATTAACGAAATATTTCAGAAATTAATTTGAAACTGTATCAAATTAGGCTTCATCAAAGCAGCAACACACTCATTTAAACCAGACAGGTCACAACATTAAAAATGAGGCAAAGGAAACTCAGCAGAAATTCAGCACAGAGAACTGTGCAAGCTGCACGGTCCATGGTCCTGAACTACACATTATAAATGTAACATTTCAGCAATCAGCATTGAAACATGTGCTATTGTAAATATTTTGCCGACTTACAAATGAGTGAGATACATGTGCCTGTCGGGGCGCGCAGAATTTTTTAATCCTTGGTGGCACTGAGGAGAGGGGCACTCGCAAGTCCTGTTCAACAGAGAGCCGTGACCTCCTGTTGCTCTTCATGTAAATCAGAGTAGAGAACGCCAACTCCAGAGATGGGGTCGTTACTAAAAAAATATAATATATTACATATTACTTTTTAAAAAAAAGTAATATATTACACTACTTCGTTACTATCTACATAAAGTAACTTGTTACTTTACACGCGCATGCGTGAGTGGCAATGGTTGTCACAAAATCCCACGGCACACCCGGACTTGACTCACGGCACACCAGTGTGCCGCGGCACACCGTTTGGGAACCACTGGTCTAGAAGTCTTCTCATCAGGGCTCTATAAATACAGAACTACGGCAGATATGTAATATTTAATGCAGCCGAACCGTGTATTACAATGCCGTTATGTGATGACTTTCAAAGAGAAAAGCACACTCGGAATAAAGTATTTTAATTTAAAAAAAAAAAATGTTTTCGGTCTGTTTCCGGTATTTGTTAATGACGATGTGCTGTGAGATGTGAGAGTGGAATTGCACAGGGGAAAATAACGTATCTTTAGATGCGGATTTTGTTAAACTAATATGTTTGCGCTGTGGACCAACACTATACATTGACGGGGAAGGGGGTAGCAATAAAGATAACACCATTAAACTGTTACACAACATAACAGAAATAATATCGATAGCAGCGTCCCTAGCAACCACCTTGGGAACAATGAAAACATTCTATGGACGCAATTTCCTGAAGTAATCTTCGTAATAACTAGCAAACTAAAGATCATGTACATCCACTGCACACATAATCTGAAATAACAACTCATATTTCTCGCATCAAATGGCATCAAAACGCATTTTAATGGCCAAACTAACTTTCAAATAGGCATTTTCCACCGAGAATAAAACGAAGTTCGGCCATGTTTTTTTTTCTGCAGGGAGAAATTTGAAGATCACGTGACATAGACGCCAGCCATTGGAATGAATGGTGAAAAAAAAACGGGGTTTGTCAAACAGAGCACATGGTGTAGTCCAAACGATAGCTGGGGATTTGTTTCTCCGAATCGAAGGGGAAAAATACAAAAGCATTGAACACAATTTAAACCAATCAATGTTGTGTAATTAACAAGGATAATCTGGTGTTTTTTAGTCAATGAGTAGTGCAGATATCACTGTAAAATCAATCGACAGTAAGGGGAATACTTACTTCCGGGTGTACAATTCTCCGTTATCCAATGGGAATGGATGCTCACATTGCCTTTAAGGGCAGCCGACACAAACGAATGCCGTGCTTCCATGAGCGTCATTACCAGTAGAAATACATTGCTTTTAAAATCGTGCTGTGCAACAGGAAAAAAAGGGGAAAATCGTGTTGGTGAACACGAATCAATAGATTAAAAATCGTGTTGGTGAACACGAAATGCCATGAGACTGGGTTGAGTAATTGCAGTGCGTGCACTCTCCACTGTTTTTGAATGCGATGTCCTGACTGTGCCTTTTACCATGTGCGTTATACAAATATGTCTTAGTCACATCCTCACAGCAATTTATGAGCTGAAGCTGAGATTTTTTGGGATTGCTAGTTTTGTGTTGGACAATTGCTACAGACTCAATCTGTTACTAGTGAAATTAATATCTGGAACTTAAAATGTGGCATATTTTGACTTTTCAATATCTACTCTTCTCTAACTCTACAATTTAAATACAGATAAACATGAAGATAGTTTTATATTTAGTGCTTTATTGATGTTTTAAGTATTGGTTGGATATATCTCTCCTCCATGGGAGCAAAGTTGTTTTGAGTACTGTATATGTTGTCTCTTGTTTTTTGCCCTTTTTACGCAGCTTTGTAGACGTCACGATACACATCGTTTTGTGGATTTTTGTCTCTTAAGAGTTGTGTGTTAGCCTTAGGGTATTGATAATAGGTATACTTGTTACCGGAAAGTTTGAAAAAGAAACAGAATACTTTATTATCCTGCCTGCCTGCTTGTCACTCCAACTGTAAATTCCCCACGCCTTCCTACCTGCCTGCCTGCTCGCTCTTATAAAAAATGAATTCCTTCAATATCTGCCTGTCTTTTAATTTAGTCTTTTAATCCAGGACGATCTTTCAGCTCATTCTTCTGCTCTATTTTTATGTTTGGGCTCAAAAGGCACTGCTGGGGAACCGGTATGGCTACCGAGCTCTTCCTCGTCTTGTCCCAGAGAAGCATTTTGAAGTTCTTTTGTCCAAACTCTCCAAAAATCCTGAAGATGTCAAGCAGCTAAATCAGTGGTACTTAAAAGACAACAATGCGGTCCCACCCACCTACGTTCTTCAGCCAATCACTGATCACTTCCCCCACTTTGGTGACCTCCAGCCTGGGAGTGAAGCGCAGCGGGATGACAGCCTCCTCTCCTGGCGCTTCACAGAGACTAAACTGTTGAAGCTTCTCCGCTCTGCTGCCGCCGCCGCAGAGGCAGCCGGCGACATCACAGCCAAGCAGAAACAACACTTCTTCACATCAGGTCAGACGCCTCACACATTTTCTCACTTATTGACTGAATATAATTTGTTAGAGCTGAGCGTCTCTCTCTTCTTTTCCACAGTCACAGAGCAAGAATTTGAGCAGGGTTTGTGGAAGGATAGCAGCGAACCATCGGCTCTACTCTTTGTGCGAGAGATTCCCTGCCAGAAGATGAAGGACGTTCCTAAACGTCTCGCTAAATACATGGACCTGTCTGCAGACGGCCTGCTGGATGCAGAAGCTCAGGGACTCCTTACCGGCCTCAAATCCCACCTCTACGCCACGCGGCAGAAGATTCTTAACTTGAACTGTGTAGAGCTCAGCAAAGGAAGCATTGACCCCAAACGTAAAGAGCATGCTCGGTACCTGGACATCATCTGCGAGCAGTTTGTGTTGCAGATGAAGGCCAGGATAGGAGAGGTGGTTGATTTAAAGGTAGAGGGGAGGAGCAGGAATATTTGGGGAAGCATTGATGAAGAAAAGGAGATCATCTCAGACTTTTGGGTTGAACAGGTTGGATGGCATGTCTCCATGAGTAATGAGCTATGCAGGAGTCTCTACGGCAGGGAAAGCCTTCTGGGTAAACTCTGTTGTGCCATGTGGGAGTCCACCAATGTGCCCCATGGCCCCCTGGTGGTCCATGGGGCTGCTGGGATGGGGAAGACAGCTTTGCTGTGCAAAGTAGCGCAGGAGACACGCAGCGTTCTTGATGCCGAGGCAGCGGTGGTGATCAGGCTGCTCTCAGCACATCATCCTCAAAGACCAAACATTGACAACGTCCTACGTAGCATCTGCCTCCAAATCTGTTTGGCCGGGGGTTTGGCTCCGCCCTCACCTCTGACAGCCAACAACCACCAGGAGCTGCTCCAGTTCTTCAGGAACGTCCTCACTGAGGTGTCCCAGCAGGGGAACACTTTGCTCATTATCCTTGATGCTGTGGATCATCTCTCAGACGTACACCATGCTCACAAACTCCGCTGGATGCCCGCAAACCTCCCACCCAATGTCCACCTGGTGGTTTCCATGGATACCAACAGTGAGGCGTTTGCTAACATGCGGCTAAAGTTGAATAGTCAGAGGAGTTACTTTGAAGTGGAAGGTTTGTCTCGTGATGAAGGTAGACAAATGATGGAGTCATACCTGCACGAATCTCAGCGAACGTTGACTCCTGAGCAGCGTGAGGCCGTGCTGCGCAGCTTTGAGACTACCCGGCTGTCCTCTGCACCTCAAACTGATTCTGTCTGCAGCTAAACGCTGGCTGTCCTTCACCCCGCTCGCAGCAACACATCCGAGCACCAACACACAGGAAGTGATGTTACAGCTCTTCCTGAAGCTGGAGGAGAAACATGGGAAGGAGCTAGTGGGCGGGGCTTTAGGGTACATTGCTCTGGCAAGGTAAGGAGAGTGTCATGTTGCTCTTTGTTGTTGTTAATATTGTCTGCTAATGCAAATTACCTTTGCGCTTTTTAAATAACAGAGATGTGTTTGTTTGCAGATAACAATAACACTTTAGACATAATTGGTGACATTGATTGGTGTATGGGTGGTTGTTAGAAGTGTGTGGCACTTATGATTGAATGGTAAGCGTACTTCTTTATGAAAATATGGATTAAAATGAAGCTATTTTATGGCTGATGGACCTAATTATTTGTTTACATTGGTGGAGAACTTATAGTGTTCTGCAAACACAGGGCACACAATAAAAACACCGAAATGTTTACATTTTCATACTATCCAGTATCCGTAATCAGAATAACATCCGAGGAAAAGGTTTGGAGGCACATTTATATATTAACCATAATACAGTGTGAATTAATTTAAATGAAATGTACCTGCAAATGTCATCATTGTTCAGAAAAAAGGGGCCTTTTTGTTATTTTTGTAATAATTATCTATAGCAATTAGTTAAAAGGTATGTTGAATTTAAATGAGAAGGAATGCATACCCAATGATTCATCCAGTTGAAGTCGCATTTATGTAGAAGTGAGATATGTTAAACCTTATCATGTGTACCTTAGTAGTAAAAAACATCAACACTAACAGTAATGATATTAAGTCATTTCAATATATGGAACCTTGCTAGACTAAAAACAATGAAAACTAACTCCTCAGGGAAGGTGTGCTGGAAACTGAACTACGTGACGTCATGTCTCTCGATGATGACATCATCAGTGAGGTGTACAAGTACTCCCTACCTCCATCCACCACGTTAATCCGGCTGCCCCCTCTCCTCTGGGCTCGACTCAGACACGACCTCGAGGATCAGCTGGAAGAGCGCTGGACGAGGGGGGTCGCTGCCATCGCCTTCAAACATTGGTGAAGAAAAATAAATCTGATAAAGGTTCACATGGCTCAAGGGAACATTTTTAATGTGTGTGTGTGTGTGTTTGTGTGTGTATGTGTGTGCGCATGTGAAGGCGTCTGTGTGAGGCAGTTTCAACTCGTTATTTGACATCAGAGCGCCGTGGGCGGAGCCTCAGGATCCTGGCGGAGTACTTCCTCGGTCGGTGGTCGGGGAAACTGAAGCCTGTGGCTCTCCAGGGTCTGTCGCTGCTCCTCTCTGATAGAAAGGTACAAACGACTCAAAATAGATTAGCTTCTAAATTAAGTCATTGTACTGAAGCTGAAATAAATATTTATCTCTGCTTTTTATTTAAATGAAATGTTGTTTTGGATTTTTATTTCGGCAGCAGTCTTTGACTTCACTGACCTTCTTTGACCTTTCTGTACCGTCCTATGCAGAAGTTTTTTCGACTGTTGATTGTGTATTTTGATTGGCTTTATGGTGTCAGGTCCCGCCCCAGCCGCTGTGGTTTGCTCCAGGATTGGCCAACATCAGAAAGCTCCAGGAGCTGCCCTATCACCTGCTGCATGCTGGTCTGTGGAAGGAGCTGCAACAGGAAGTCATTGGTAAGATGTGGGAAGAGACTCAGTATAAATACAAATATTGTGTTAGTTGTATTGTTCCATACAGCTACTGAACACAAACCCAGTTTGAAATGATAAAACAAATGATAAACACTAAAACATAATGATATGATTGATAAAAGTAATACACTAATAATATAAAAGCACTATACTGTATATAATATTATATATAATAATATACGGTATAAACACCTTTCTTTCATTGCTATAATTTGCCATTGCTTAACTATATGAGCAGGTTTTCTTTTTTACTATAATCATTATTCATTTTTTTAAATACCAAAATAAAGAAGATTAAAGAAACAGCATCAGGTTCAATAAAATGAGTCATTATAAAATAAAGTTTGGTGTAATAGTACTGAAAGAAAAACATGTATTTAAACATTTGTAGTCACTCTCAATACTTACAAATGCACATTTCAAGTAGTAGTAGTAGTAGTAGTAGTAGTAGTAGTAGTAGTAGTAGTAGTAGTAGTAGTAGTAGTAGTAGTAGTAGTAGTAGTAGTAGTAGTAGTAGTAGTAGTAGTAGCAGTAGTAGCAGTATTGTTTCTTCCTTGATCATATTCCTGATGATCAAATCAAGTCGTGGACTTCGGGTCGTGGCTGAACCTGTCTCTGCGGTCCTGCCTTGGGTCTCGGCATGCTGCTTCCACAGGATTGTAGCTGACATCCTCGTGGATTCATCTTCTTATTACAGACACATGCATTTCCTAACATTCGGTCTATATGCTGTAAAATGTATTATCTCTTTTAGTCAAGATTTAGTCTAATTATTTGAGTCTACTTTTTGTCAATGAAAACTGTTGAGTCTTTTTTAGTCATCAGATTATATAGAACATTTCAGTCAAACTAGTCTATCCAAAACCAATAATTTGTCATTTTAGTCAAACGTATTTCACAATAAGATTATATCTTGTCCTTATTTGATGAAAAACACAGGTTGAATGATTAAGAAGCTTTGCAGAGTATCTGGTCAGGTTTGTGGTGTTTTTACCTGTGTATGGCCACATTGCTTCCCTTCTGATAAAACAATGCATTCGCTTTTTTTCTCCGCCTCATTGTAGCAAAAATGCGTCCAAATATCACATCGTTTCTTTCTCCCAAGCAGTGGTGGCTTTAGACTTTTTCGTTGTCAGTCATTTTGACGGACAGGATCGTAACATTTCCGTCATAATCCATTATTATTACCCGTCGAGTGCACAATTTATCAATCACTCGCGCTGACGGGGGGTATTCGGTAGTTATTGTTACGTATTGCGCCGAGGCTTCGGAGCGTGTGTCGAGTAATCCCCGAAACTTCTTGTGAAGCATGTATCGAGGCTTGTATCGTTTTGGGCCAGTGACGTCATCGATGACAAACGAAGCCTCGCTGCCTGTTGATACCCAACCCTGTCTCCTAAAAATTACGTTCCCACAGAACTAAACTGCATTCTCAATTACGTTTAGCTAGAAACGTATTTTCTCCCACGTTACGTTTGTTATGAACGTATCTCAAATACGTTTATTTTCTACATATCTTCTAGAAACATATCTTCTCCCACGTTACGTTCGTTATGAACGTATCTTAAATACGTTTATTTTCTACATATCTTCTAGAAACGTATTTTCTCCCACGTTACGTTCGTTATGAACGTATCTTAAATACGTTTATTTTCTACATATCTTTGCCATTTATTGCCTTGCTTATAATAATGATAATAGTCATTTAAAAATATCATTTTAGAGCACACATTTGAAATCGAGAATCGGGCTCGATATATGGTTAAATTAAAATCAGTAGGCGAGGCTGTAATTTCGCCAGCTGTTACTCTCATGAGCGAGGCAGAAAATAATAGTTTTAACATGCCAAAAAGCTGCTGTGTCGTTTATTGCACCTCAAAGATTAAAACAAATCCAGAGTTACTTGTTTCTGTACTTCCTCGAAGAAGAAAGGACAGTAACAGAAGAGCTCTGTGGCTTCAGGCTTGATCGCCGTTCAAATGACAGCGTTGGTTTCCCCAAAAGTGGGCGGGGCTGTAAAGTGACGTTTTACTATCATCTATTATTCAAAACCATTCTATTTATTCTAACGTAAATTACATGCCAGTGTTTTATCTTTTTATTTATTTGTTTTTATTTTAAATCGTATAATGTCGGACTTTTTTCCCGTCTGTGAGGAAAATAAATGGGGTTTAGAGCCTCAAAATACTGAAATCTGTATTTTTTAAAATCTTTTCCTTCTAATTTGTTATTCTTTTCTAAATAACACACTGTTATTTACTCAACCATAACACACAATTATCCTTGTTTTTATTTATTCGTTTAATTCTATAATCTTGGGCTTTTTAGCCGTAAATAAAGTCACCGGAAACAGACGGGACATTTCGAGCGATACACACCACAAACCCACCGAACTGATTACCCAAGATCCTCAGCTTGAAGCTCGTTGATTGGATGTTTTAGCCGCAATAAACGCTGGGATATGGTGTTAATAAGTTGTGATATCCGAAAACGAAAAATAAAATAATACCTAATTCAGAGTGTTCTTGCTTTTCTCTTTGGAAGTCATCACATAACGGCATTGTAATACACGGTTCGGCTGCATTAAATATTATACATCTGCCGTAGTTCTTTATTTATAGAGCCCTGATGAGAAGACTTCTAGACAAACATGAGGAACTGCCGCCAAAACTGAATACTTGATGTGGATCATAAATATATCAACAATTAAACAACATCTTCAATTTCTTTTCACAAAATACGTCTCCTTGCAGTATCAATAGTAATTCGGCTGACTTTTATATTTGATCCAATTGGTAGATAATAGGTTATATTTACACCATAACGGTGCACAGCTGATAGAAAAGGACTTGTAGTTTTTAAAGATATTACTGATTTTCTTTGAATATAAGAATGTAAATACTGAGTTGAGAGAATAGTCAGGGGATTTGGGTGATGGGAGACACATCTATGGATTCAGAATTTCAATAGCGTACCATTAAATGACGGATATACCTTTCTGTCTGTGATGTTTTACAAATCAGATATTAATGTGTAGAAGTAAAACATGTGAAATAATATAGCAATATCCTGTAAAATTATGTAAAAACATGAATAAAACTACACATCTTCAGATGTTATACATACATAAGTGTTCTACACTAATAATACAAAGTTATTATTAGTATGCTGTGTGTACCTTGTGTGCACCGCCTAGTGGTTAAAGCACGTTATTGAATTATTTTTGTTGAATAATGTTATTTGATGAAAACAATATTAAGAGTACATACTTTCATAGGGGGAAAGTAGAAGGTCAATGATAGAAATATAGAATATAAAAAGTCAAGAAGATACTATAAGTGATCTCTACAATAAAACAGTTTAGTGCCGGATGTACAAAGATATTAATATGAGGATGTGCAAAACAGAAAAACGAATTAACCTTTATTAACACATTAAAGAATACTTTAGGTTAAGGTCTTATTTTAAATAAGAAAAAAGCTTTGGGGGTATCTATCTACAGATAAATATTAAGCCTGACAAAGTACTTAACGTCTAATATATTGCTTTCCTGCAATGTTAACTATGTTGAAGCACTTCTTTTAACTGATATTATACACATTAATTATACTCTTATGTATGTAGGTAGAATAAGAAATGTTCAGAATATGACAGTTTAATGGTGGAGGTACACACATATTGATAGATGTCTTGTAATACGCTGTTGAGGAACCTGTTACCCAAGTTGTGTATATGATCAAGAAACCTTAGAAAATCTTGAAATCTTGAAAGGGATGTGCAAAATAGCCATTATACAGTTTTTAATTAACTATTAGTAGAGAATAACGAGTAATGAATATACTTTATAGAGATCTGCAGATAAATGTTTCGTCTTCTCAAGCACCACCTATCAAATATCTCTCCTGATTGTTGGCACTTGACAATCACCTTCCCTGAATTTTACTCAGGTGTAACTAAAGTCTGCTTTAAGGGTTGTTTATATTTCACATCATTAATCAGAATCTGCAAAGTAACTCAACTAAATGTAGTGGAGTAAAAATACCAGGTTAACCTCTGAATTGTAGTGGAGTAGAATTACAAAGTAAGCTGTCGTGTGGGTATATATTAATGCTGCCCATTATGGATATAAGCGATTTTTACCCATTTAGTAATTACATGTTTTAAATGTGTACACACCAATGTGTTTCCTATCGCCTAAACCTCCAGGGCTGTACACAGTTTAATACTGGCAACTTCTAATTTTGGGAAAAACGTCTTTTAAAACTACAATTCCCAGTAGATACGTGCCATAGAGAACATGTTGCGAAACACAATAGCCAGCATGTGTATTTCTCGGGGGGCGTTCGAGTCCAGTTTTGAATAGTCTGCCGTGGTTTCGTTCCATTTCAAAGAGCTTGACGCTCGGCGTAACCTTGGTGCACTGCCACTCCAACATCACGGGGTTTGTCAACGGGACTGTAGTCCCAAACGATAGCTGGGGATTATGGGTAGTGTAGTGTCTTCGGCCATCCTAAATCTCGAAATGTCCCGTCTGTTTCTGGTGACTTTATTTACGGCTAAAAAGCCCAAGATTATAGAATTAAACAAATAAATAAAAACAAGGATAATTGTGTGTTATTGTTGAGTAAATAACAGTGTGTTATTTAGAAAAGAATAACAAATTAGAAGGAAAAGATTTTAAAAAAATACAGATTTCAGTATTTTGAGGCTCTAAACCCCATTTATTTTCCTCACAGACGTTTATACGATTTAAAATAAAAACAAATAAATAAAAAGATAAAACACTGGCATGTAATTTACGTTAGAATACATAGAATGGTTTTGAATAATAGATGATAGTAAAATCTACGTCACTTTACAGCCCCGCCCACTTTTGGGGAAACCAACGCTGTCATTTGAACGGCGATCAAGCCTGAAGCCACAGAGCTCTTCTTTTACTGTCCTTTCTTCTTAGAGGAAGTACAGAAACACGTAACTCTGGATTTGTTTTAATGTTTGAGGTAAACGACACAGCAGCTTTTTGTCATGTTAAAACTATTATTTTCTGCCTCGCTCATGAGAGTAACAGCTGCCGAAATTACAGCCTCGCCTACTGATTTTAATTTAACCATATATCGAGCCTGATTCTCGATTTCAAATGTGTGCTCTAAAATTATATTTATAAATGACTATTATCATTATTATAAGCAAGACAATAAATGGCAAAGATATGTAGAAAATAAACGTATTTAAGATACGTTCATAAGGAACGTAACGTGGGAGAAAATATGTTTCTAGAAGATATGTAGAAAATAAACGTATTTTAGATACGTTCATAACGAACGTAACGTGGGAGTAAATACGTTTCAAGCTAAACGTAATTCAGAATGCAGTTTAGTTCTGTGGGAACGTAATTTTTAGGAGACAGGGTTGCGATACCACGTGACTGTTTCATGAAGCGATTCAGATCGGTTGAACCGTTGAACCACAACGCTCATAATACCCATGGATGTATAATAAGAACCATATTACCCCTCCTGTACCCGGCGGGCCCGGTGACACGATGGAATCAAGAGAGCTCAGACCCTCACTTATAGAGGTCGGAACATGTCATAATAACTAGATACAAGCATAAGTAAATGTAGGAATAAAAACATCAATAAATACAGGAATACATATGTTGCAGTGTTTTCAGGGAGCTTTAGTGTGTGTGCTGTGGCTCAGCTGGAAAGCAGTTGACTCATGACTGCAGGGTCCCTGGTTCAACACTGAACAATACGTATTTGTTGTTGTTTATAAAAGCTACAGCTAAATGAGATAATGTAGTTTATAAATGTATTCTTTGATATGGTTTAGCCTTTCTCCGGCTACAACATGGTTACGTTTATGAATATTATTAAGGAATACAAATCCCTCTTTGCAATGTTTACCAGCCTCCTTAGGCTTTTCACTTCCACTTTTCCACTTTTCAATCACAATCATTAAACTGGAATAAATACAATATTGTTAACATGAAAATACGATGTTATGTTCGTTGTTTAGATGTATTCTAAGTCTTTACTCATTGGGAACTCGGTATGAGATGATGGAGCACACTGTTGATATGTCCAACCTGCCTGTTTTACACACTTTGACCAACAGGGGGGTTTGTGTTCAAATGAAGCCCATTCTCTGGAAGTTTTTCCTTGTACGATGTGAGGGTCTAAGGATAGAGGGTCTAAGGACAGAGGGTCTAAGGATAGAGGGTGTCGTTTTTCTCATACTGATATTCTGAACAATCTGTGCTGTTGTATTTGCTGTAAAGTGTCTCTACTGTAGGCTATTTTTATTGTATGTACAGCACTTTGGCTCGACCAAAAATCGTTTATAAATGTGCTATATAAATAAAATTTGATTTGATTTGATTCCTAATTTGTACAAACCAGTTCAGTAAATAAATAAATATATATAAATAAATAAATGTGTTACATTTTTCAGGCAGTGCTGAGTGGCTGTACTGTAAGAGCAGGGTTTGTGGGGTATCCAGTGTGATCCAGGATCTGGACCAGTGCTCCAAGTACATGGACTGCACTGAGACCAGCCTGCTCCGAGACACTCTGCTCCTGATCAAAGCCAGTCTGGACTTCCTGGACGGTCACATGGGTCAGCTATGACATGTGTCAATATTAAGTTATTCATCTTTTTTTGGTTTCAAATATTTCTAATCATAGTTCGTCTATGATTTTTACTTCAGAAAAACATTGCCCGTCCAAAAGAAAAGTTTCACTCTAATATTTAGTTGTACCGCCTTTAGCTTTAGCCCGCAGTCGCCGTGGCTTCATTTCGATAAGCTTCTGCAATGACACAACATTTATTTCTGTCCAGAGTTGCATTCATTTTCCGCCAAGATCTTGTATTTATGATTGGAGAGTCGCACCGCTGCGCAAAGTCTTCTCCAGCACATCCCAACGACTCTCAATGGGGCTGAGGTATGGACTTCCATGTGTAGAAAGGTTGTCTCCTGCTCCCTGAAGCACTCATTCACAATGTGAGCCCCCCGGGCATTGTCCCCTTGGAAGATGGCCGTACCATCAGGGAAGAAAAACTCCATTGATAGAAAGACCTGGTCGACTACTCGCAATGTCGCACAATTGACACGTCATCAGAGCGCAACCTCTACCACTCCACATACACTCACCGCCAGTCCGCTACAACAACACACTTCATTCTACCTCCACTCCGCCCTTACGCTTACTTGACCCTCTACCCATTCCTCTTCTGAAGTCCTGCCTCCCTGTCCTCTGCCCCTATCTCGCTAACCTTTTCAACTCCTCGCTGTCCCATGGAACCGTCCCCTCTGCTGCTGTAACTCCAATCCTCCAAAAAACAGGACTGGATCCCTCCTCCCTCACTAATTACCCCCCCTTTCCAACCTCCCATTCCTCTCAAAAACACTTCCATTGCCATTTCCAAACCAACCAGCTTTATGATCCCCACCAGTCTGGATTTCGTCCTCACCACAGCACAGAAACTGCACTAATCAAAGTCCTCAATGACCTCCTCACCTCTGCTGACACTGGTTCCCTCAATATCCTCATCCTCCTCCACATGAGTGCAGCCTTTGATACCGTGAGACACAACATCCTGCTCACCCGACTCAGGGACATCGGTATTGAAGGTACTGCACTCAGATGGCTCCAGTCCTACCTCACTGAACGATCCCACTTCATTTCCCTCCCCAACCACTCCTCTGCCACAGCTTCAGTCACCCAAGGCGTTCCTCAAGGAACAGTACTCGGCCCCCTCCTCTTCATCATCTTCATCCTCCTTCTCGGTCAAATACTCCGCCATTTCAACCTGGACTTCCACTGCTACGCTGATGACACCCAGATCTACCTCAGCACCAAATCTCTCCATAACCCACATATATAGAAATGTTATTCATTGGGATAATCGACTCCTGTCTGACAGCAATAAAAACTTGGATGCAACACAACCTCCTCAAACTGCACAGCAACAAACAGAACTCCTCCTCATTCAGCAAGGTCACCAACATGACACTCACTATCGATAGCACCCCTGTTTCCCCCTCCACTCAGGCACGCAACCTTGGCGTTATCTTTGACCCCACCCTCTCCCTCAAGCCTCAAATTCGCCAAACAGTCAAAACCTAATTTCACCACCTCCGCAATATTGCAAAACTCCGACCCTATCCCACCCGCCCCGCAGCCGAACGAGTTATCCATGCCTTCATTTCCTCCCGCCTTGACTAATGCAACTCACTTCTCTACGGCATCAGCTCTACATCCCTCAATAGACTCCAACTGGTTCAAAATGCAGCCGCACGACTCCTCGCGCATACCAAATCATGGCACCACATCACCCCAGTCCTCAAAGAACTTAATTGGCTTCCTGTCTCCCATCGCATGAATTACAAAATTCTGGTCCTCACCTACAAAGCCCCCCCCCATATCACCAACCTTCTCAACCCCTATCAACCCCCACCGTCCCTCTGATCCACCGCATCGGTCTCCTATCCATTCCCAAATAATCCAAACTCCGCAGCATTGGGGACAGAGCCATTTCAGTGGCAGCTCCTAGACTCTGGAATTCCCTCCCCCAAGTTCTTCGTCATTCCGAGTCCCTCACACTCTTTCAGTCCTGCCTCAAAATTAATCTCTTCACCTCTGTCTATCCATAAGCGCCTCCCTATTATTCACTTATCCAATGGGAGGCTCTTACAGATTGGCTTAGGTGCTGTTTACACGGGAACAAAACGGGTTGTAGCCGCTACTTTTCTCTTTCGTATAGCCCGTTCGTTCACACAAGGCCGTAAAGGAACCGCGGAAACGGACCCCTAAAATGATAACGGGTCCCAAGGTGGATAGATCAGCGGACGGAACCCTCCGTGTGTACGTCCTATACGATAATTTCCTGATAACGATGAAGCCATAGCCCCATCTCTGCTGCTCACTGCTGTAGCATGGTCAGTAACTACTATCAGTAGCTACTGCTGCTACTGCTACTGACCATGCTACAGATGTTAGTGCAAAATCTACAGTTCCTCTACCACAACCCTCAGCAACAAGTGGACATGGTGAACTACATGAACTACATGTTGCTAAATCCACCGCGGAGAATAAACAGAAGGGCAACCAGGCAACCATGGCAACCATGCTCGGGGGTCTTCTTCGCTGCTTTTGGTGTATTTTGTGGCGGAAGTACGCCACTTACAGGCCCGGCATATGTACTACAGCGTCTCCAGCCGGTCTAGCCGTATCCGTGTGAACGGAAGACTTTTTTTATATCGAATTCGGTTCGTTTGCGTTAGCGTTCCCGTGTAAATGGGGCCTTAGTTAAATCCAGTTGGGGATTTTTTTTTTTGGACGGGCAGTGTAAGATAATGTTCTTCACCAAACTAAATGTAAAAAGTTAACAGAAATGTTCAAAAAATGCAAACAAATGCAGTAACTTGTTTTTCACACTTGTTTCAGACATGTCTCTGTTTTACACTGAGCTGTTGGCCAGACTCTGCTCCTTGGCTAAGCCTTTTCCCTCGGTGATTGGCCGGCTGTGTGGCCAATGTGAAGAGTGGTTACTGACGCACCCCGAGCCCATCCTCATTCCCAAGTGCAGTTTCCTGCAGCAGCCAGGAGGGGCGCTACAATACACGCTGACCGGACTGCAGGGAGGTCAGGGAATTATGCTGCTGCTCTTAAAGTAGCATTAAAGTAGATCTAAAACATTTATGTTTAAACCTAGAAAGTGAACATTTTTTATAATTTTTGTTCGAACTTCAATAATTAACAGGGTTTTTTCCAAATTGTAGGAGTTCAAAGTTGTAGTTAGCATCTGTTAATTGTTTAAGTATAAATCCTGTGACAACGAACTTCAAGCTGTCAGTTGTTAGTTAGTTTAGTTTAATTTTTTCAAATGTATTCATTGCTGTTAGTTTTGCATTCGGTCTCCGAAATGATGCTAACCGTAAGTGAGCAAGTCAAAGCTATGTTAGCTAACATTGCTTGCAGCTGACTGAAAGTATTGTGAGGACCCGTATCAGAGGTTTTACCTGTCGTCTTCTTTTTTTTCGTTTCAGGTGTGCTCTGTATGGACCTCAATGTGGAGGCGGAGCTTCTGGTTGCAGGTTCAGATGGTGGCGTGGTGGCTGTCTGGAGCCTCTCTGACCACCAGCTCGTACACTCACTGCTAGGACACACAGGTCTATGTTCATTAAAGAATAGTAAGAGGGATATAAAGTTATTATTAATATAAATATGAATAACCTAATCTGTTTATAGGTGCTGTTCTGTGCGTCAAGGTTGTTGACAGCACCGCCAACTGCCTCTCAGTGGCAGCAGATGGCTCTCTGAGGAGGTGGAGCCTGGTGAACGGCCAACAGCTGCTCTGCATCCAGGAGGCCATTCCTGTCAACCCCGCACCTTCCTCAGTACACATACACCTGTCTGAACAGCTGATCTTCATTTACACCAGGACACAGGTACCATAATGAAGCCAATAGAGTTGTTCAGGAATGAGTCCTAAAGCCCGTAAATGAGTCAGAATTGTACCACTTCTGGTTAAACATAAACATCAACGTTTCTGAACAGGTTTTTGGTTAGATGCCTAAAATAAAGTCTGTGGTTAACACAATCGTAGGAGTTTTGCAATATAACTCTATGACATCAAATACGAAAGTTAATACCCCACTCATGTAAATGTCAAAAGCTCCTGCCATAAAAGCTAACCGGTGTCCGCTTTTAGCTTAGTGGGTGGTGATCCAAAGCCCTGTGACCATGATGTTGCTGTTTATAGCCTAATGTTAGCTTTTTAATTCTGGCGATTTCATTCACACTTCAAAAATCATAAAGTCGTGTTAATATGACACCTATCTTATTTTCTGCAATTCTCCAAAATCCAATAAAAAATTCCCAGTTTTTTTCCTAACGCTAACATTTGTGTTGGCATACAAAATGATGTCATCAATGCAAAACTCTATTGAACATTTATGCCAGATTCTTGATATCAGATGTTGCTATAACATCATAACTACTAGTCATTTTGCTTTTGAAATAAATACAATTACTACCACTACTAGTACTTGTAGTTAAATCCAGGATTGTGTTTGGATCAGAGTTCTTGCTGTTTCAGGTGAAGGTGTGGCAGCTGGACGGGGGTGAGGTCCTCAACAGCAGTAATGCTGACGGGTCGGTGGTGCTGGGAGTTCTGGGAGAATCAGTGGTTTCTATGTGTAATTCTGGTCTTGTCAGAATATCTCAACCTATCAATGGGACTCAAACTGTTGAGACTCGGCTGGAAAACTGTCAGAGAAGTGTGACCCTGTCTAAATCTGTTAACTTACCAAAACGTGGGAAAGTGTTCTTCGTTTCTAAAGAAGGCTTCCTCTATCAGGTGTGTGTTTTCTCCATCTGTCATTCTCTTTTTGTTGTGCAAAATGTATTACATGGGAGCTGGATGTCTGGAGAATTTTAGAGCAAGAAGAAATAATAACTCTGCAATTGTGACACTTTCTTTTTATGTAAAGATAACATACTCTAATAGTTTGGCCGATAGACAATCCCCTAAACATCCATAAATATCAATAGTACATACAAAATATCTTAAATTCCACTATCCTCCTAAGTTCAATCATTTGGCTCCAAAGAAGTTGTTTCTTAATTTCCTCCAAATATTGTATGTTTGAAACAGTTTATCCGTTACATTTAAACTAATTAATATATTTTTTATTTGATTATTTATTTGTTAAATATTAATATATGTTATTTGTATCTGTATATTTAATATTGTACTATTGTGTTTTAATTGTGAGGGCATTTCCCACTTATTTGTTTATTGTTTCAAACCAAAAAAAGGAAATTAATCAACATTTAAATACAAAATAAAAATAATCATTAGTTCATTAAAATAAACTCCACCTCATCTAACTATTACAGTAAAATCCAGATTTTAAATAATGATCTGATGATAGGGTCTCTACATTTTTCTAGTTTGATGCTTTAAATACATTTCTTATTATACTTACATACATACTTAATGTAATGAAGTAAACATTTTTACAGTTACAGTTATTTTTAAAGCGAGTTATTAGTACTTTTACTTAAGTAAATATTTGGAATACTTCCTGCTCCATAGTTCATAGGCAACAGCCAGTATGAACCAGTGGGGGGGATGCCAGCCCAGTCACATTGTAATCAGCCAGTATTTATCCTTAACATGTGCTACACATGTTCATAACTCATAATGATGGTATTTACCTTCCTGTCTGCAGATTTCCTTGAAGGGGAGACACATGGCAGTAAAGTTTCCGCTGGTTCCTTCTCTGCTTTCAGTCACTGAAGATGAAAAAATACTGGTAGCAGGTAGGACTGTTATTGACATAACTAACAAATACATACTGAAAACAGACTGGCTTGTTAAGTCTGTTTTCTCTTTATAAATGAGTTGGAATAGGGGAACTTATTAAATACTTTTGATAAAATTCTCCAAAACATAATTCATTGTCGAGCCTTCCTTCATGTGCAGCATACTGAAGGGATAAAACAAGAGGAAGCCAGGATCTCATTCTGTTTCCTGTTTCTCACGTCCATCATGTGCACATTCTCAGAGTGAAAGAAGCGTGTTTGTGTCCTGTACAGGCAGTGATCGGACTCTGAGCCTCTTCAACATCGACAGAGACTCTGTGGACAGATTCCTGGAGCTCCAACACGACGACAGCGTTTTGTCTGCCTGCGTCTCCTCAGACTGCCGAGTGCTCGCCTCAGGAGCTGCTGACCAACTCATCAGAGTAACACACTAACATACAGTAGATGTAGATGGTAATCATGATGTGCTGGCAGCGGCTTCTCCGTGAGGCATCCTGTCAAAGCCACGCTTCACAGTTGGAATAAAGGCCCCAAATTTGCCTCATACTAAAATCCTCCCAGTTGCTTTACTAGTTAGCCTGTGCAGCGGCTTCAAAGTAAAAGCTTTTAAGCTGCTTTATAGTAAAATCTCCCCAGCTGTGTCACAGGTAAAGCTTATCCAGTGATTTCATAGTGGGAGGTCCTCAAACTCTCAATGTAACGCTCTCTTCATTCACCTCAGCAAAATGTTAAGCTGTTTCAAAGTAAAAGCCCTCTACATGCTTCACTGTCAAATCCATGAGTAAAAGCAAATCCAGCCTTTCTGCTATTTCACAATTCCTGTAGCTGCTACACAGTTAGAATAAATACCATCAGCGTTTCTTTATAATAGAATCCTTCCAGTTGCTTTATTGTATAAGCTTCAGTAACAGTCTTTCACCTGCTTCACCTGCTCAAAGCACTTAAGGTGCTTCACATCAAACTCTCCATATATGTATTACAGTAAAAGCCATCAATCTGTTACACAGTACACATTATTTCAGCTATTTTATTCCACAGTATAATTCACAGTAAATACGTCAAGATGTTCCACACTTAAGAAAAACCCAGCTGCTTTAAAGTACATCTTAAAGACCTATTTGTGGAGAATCTACAGCTCTACTAAGGCAGTTTTCACATGCTCGTTTTTTCGGTATGAACTTCTTCTTTTACAGATCTGGTCGGTGACCACCGGTGCGTTGTTGGACACTCTGAGTGGCTCAGACTCCCCCGTCACTTCTGTTCTTCTGTATCACGGCTTTGTGCTTTCAGCCTCAAAGGCAGCTGCCAGCGTCCGTCTGTGGAGTCTGAAATACGACCCCCGCCACAAACCCACCGCCACCATCCCTGCAGGCTGCGCCCACGTGGCCGTCACTGAAGACGCAGACCGGGTTTTTTACGTCCGGCAGCAGAGCCAAACGACGGTCCTCAGCTGGAACAACAACACAGGTCACTGCAAAGAGAGAGATGTACTCGTTTGTGCCCCTGTATGTACGTGTTTATTTAACTCCACCACTCCACCACCACCATGGTTATCATGTTCAAGTAATGTAAGCTAGTGTTTGTCACACTACTTTTTTAAAGTTATTTCTATCTGTATATTGATCTTTAATATCTTACTTTTATGTTTTGATTGTGATATCATTTCTCATTATATTATGTATTTTTGCAAACCAAACAATCAATCGTTTAGTGTTAAAAAATAATAAGGAGTAAATAGTTAAAAATGAGCTCTAGGTAATCTACCTACAACTTAACATTCTGCTTTTACATCTATTCACGAGTAATGTCATCTTATACATTAATTACTGTTGAAATAATAAAAGCAGGTATGTGTCAGTGTTTGTAAAGCACCCTCTACAGGTGGAGACTCTGACTCCCCTGGATCTCCCTGCAGGTTCTCTGTCTGAGTGTTATGCGGTCTCTGCTGAGGTCTGCTGCCTGGAGGTAGCTCAGCACAAGCGGCTGCTGCTCTGCGGGCTGACCACCGGCACGGTGCTCATCTACCCTCTGTCCCTGCCCCAGGAGACGCTCTGTATCCCCCCCCCAGAGAGCCTCTCCAGGGTGCTCTGCATAGCTGTCAGCTCCCAGGAGAAGCATATGGCGGTGGCCTACGAGGATTCTGTGTGTTTGTTTGAGATCACCAACAGAGACAGTTTCCCCACGGTGGAGGGGCCCCTGAAGAGGGCCCCCCTGTCTCTGCTCCACGCCCCGCTGTCCTCCATGGCCCTGCTGCCCGACCGCAGGCTGCTGTACGGGACCAGCTGCGGGGAGGTGAAGCTCCACGACTTCAGCAGCGGCATCAGCTCAGGCCTGGAGCCCCACCGCAGCAGGGTGACATGTGTGACGGCCGGGCACTGGGGGACCCACGCCTTGGTGGGCTCCGAGGACGCTGTCCAGAGGCTTTGGGCCCTGAGCCCACTGGTGCTGGACCACACCATGGAGTACAAGGTCAGAACTACTGTGGTTTGACATCAAATCACATCACCATGCAATCTGCAACTTCACTGTAGCGGCCAAAATCATAAAGAAATGAACTGCCGCTGAGTCACCAGTTAGTGAACGATCCATGTGCAGACCAGAATATCCGTATATGCATTTATTTCCATTTACCAACATGAACAAAATACAATGAACAGGTGTTTGCCCTTCGCCTCTCCTATGGCATGCTTGTTTCACCCTGTGGTAAACAAACATATGCCTACTGGTGCTCTGCTCCCACCACCAGCTGTCTCCAATATACAATCACACCAGGGGCCCAAATACACCTTCAAAATAAAAGCATAACACTACTTTAACTAACTTAAATAATAACCCTGAATAATAATACATTTACTATAAACAAAAACTATTACATAATATAAATCAATATATAGCTCTAACACTCATCACTAGATGCCATAAGTCTCACACACTGCACCTAAAAACACAGTGCTATTACCGTAGGTCAGAATACTCTGTTGGGAAAAATATCTTCTATCAGACAATAATAAGCCAAACATGTACACATTTGTATTTAACTATTTTAACATAGTATTGAAAGCAGATATAAGGACATTTTTAAGTGTTTAATAATGTACAGTATTTGTCACGTTTATATAACTTCTCAAATAAATACACAATATATGTTATATATTGTTGTCATTCATTATCTATTTATACTAAAGCATGTTATGAATGCTTCTTAGAAGGAGTTAGAGTTTTTGAAAAATGTTTTCTTGATGTTCAGGGATTTTTCTTCGAGGGGCGTCCTCTCTGCTGCTTTCTCCGACGCGACCAGTTCGTCTTCACAGGATGTCAGGACAGAACAGTGAAAGTGTGGGACGTCGCTTCAGGTACACACTGTTCCAACACATTCCTAAACTATTTCTGAAATACAGGATTGGAGTGTGTTCTACTAACCGGTGGCAGCTCTAACGGCTCTGCTTACATGTTTTGTAAAATGCTTAACGGAATGGAGACTCGCAGATGGGGGTGCTGCAGCCCCCTCAGCACCCCCCTTCCCGCGTCCATTCGCGATGTCTCGCTGTCTTGCAGACCCCACGCAGCAAGCAGGAAGTGAACCCAGCTCACACTGTCCGCTCCTCGCAGCAGCGAGCCCCGCAACGTCCCCCCAACACGGCACCCAGACCCCACGCAGCATTCTCATCCGTTTGTCCTTACTGATGTCATTTTCTGGTTGCTAACAAACGCCATTGTAACACATAATCACTGATGTTCCGCTGTAACGGTAGTGGACTCATCAGAACAGAGTGGACGAGCTGACCAATCAGGGAGGGGGGGGGGGGGAGCTCCAACAAGCCGTGTAGGACAGAGAGTGAATACACATACTATACAGAGATGCTGTTTGAGAAACCAATGTGAGTTTGGAACATTGAACAATAGGCGCATTCACACCGCAGTACTTTTCCCACAAAGGTTCATGAGAACTCAGTTCATGAGAACTCTTTTGTCGCGTTCACACCAAAAAGAGCCGGTACTAAAATTAGTTAATGAGAACCTTTTTACCCCCTTTTCTGTCCCTGCTAGAGAGCAGAGAGCTGCTAGAGAGCAGGGACTTTCGAGCAGCTCTCTTGTGAGAAAAGAGCTATATTTCTGATTGGCTGGGCGGATTGCAAACCACGCCCCGTAAAACTCCCAAAAAGTTTTGTGATGCCGCCATTTTATTATCCTCGCATTAGCATTATTAGCATTAGCCCAGCGCAGAAACGCAGAGAGACTAACTTATGGCAACACAAAGGGAAAACATGGGAGCGGTGGAGATGAGGAGGTGTCGGCGTTCTGGCGATTTACTCGGAAGGCTTCAGTAGAAGCTGCTGGGAGTCCCAGCAGCTTCTACTGAAGCCAGTCCCTAACTCCGGGGACTTCTGGCCGGGGACTTTGGGCGGCAGTATACGCCGTGAAGTGGTTTGCGGCCTGCCAGTAAACCCAAAGCAGAAGAAGAAGAAGTGACGTCAGCGGCTTCATTTGCCTAATCCACCCCCAGGGACTTATTCCAGTGTGAACGCGATCTGTACTTAGTTCATGAGAACTAAAGAGTTCTCATGAACTAAGTTCTCATGAACCTTTGTGGGAAAGGTACTGCGGTGGGAATGCGCCTATTGTAAATCTATTCTAGTAGACCTCAACAATGGAAATATGATCAGTAGAAATGGCCATGACATGGGACCTTTAAGTTAACTGCTGCTAAAACTTCAGTTTACCACAGCCTCTAGGTCCACTGAAGAGGACATCGAGGGTCACTCTAATGCAGAAATCTTCTTACATGATCAAAATGACTATTCCATGTGATGATCAGCTGAGGGTCTTTGAAATAAAGAGGCTGTCACTCACCGGTTTGTATTTTCTTGTTTCTTCCTGTCAGGAAACCTGCTGTACGTCCAGTACGTCTACTCCCCCGTTGTCAGGATGGTGACCTTCAGGAACGGCTTTGTGGCGCTGTCCCAGCAGGGCTCCGTCATCAGGGAGGTGTTTCACTGTCCGGAGCTCATCAGTCCGGACTACAACCCTCTGAGGAACGTCAAGGCCCAGTACCGGGTCTCCTCCAGGGCAAAGCAGAGCCAGGACGGCCAGCAGAGCTCCGGATCCCACCTTCAGGAATTCAACCCAGCCGGTCTGAACCTGAACCTCATGAGCATGCTCAGAACCAGACCCTCCTCCACCTGTCTCCTGCTGTAGGACGCCTAACACCTCCAGAGGCTTCAAAACTATAGAGAAAACAATACATAACACAAATATATCTATAGTGCATAAATTATTTCATATATAATATAATATCACTTTGTAACAGTAGACAGTTAGCATCCTGTTTATCTTTGTCATAAGTTATAACTAAGATAAACAGGATGCTTGTAACATGGAAGATAAAATAACATATTTTTAAGGTTTATGGAATCCTTAGACACTTAGGGGCTAAAAAACGTAACATCTAAGGGTGCTAGCAACAACAGCAATACAACCATTTAAGCCTAAATATGAGTGTTTTTTAAATGAAGTAGATACAGCAGGACTCTGTCTGGAAAAGGCCAGTGACTTCAGCTGCCGTCCTCTGTGAAGACGGAAGCTACAAAGTGATCAGATGGAAGGGGGTGAGTATTTGATTCATGAAATATATATTTTCTGAGTATTGTTCCTTTACATTTTGCAAAGCACTAACCCTGGGTTCATCTGCAAAAACTTACAACTTAGCCAAAACATAACTTTACATCTCTAAGGCCAACACATTGATTTATTGTTAATTTTAGAAAATGTAGTTATAATTACTGTGAATACATGTTGAAGGATATTAAAGGTGAGCATTTGCGTATACTTTTTTTGTATACCAAGATAATGATAGAAGAGTAAATAACAGACTATTCTAATAAAGACAACACAATGAGTTTCACCATCATACACTGACTACCTAAGACTCTGTTAACCAACCTTTGACTTCCCACCACCTCCCAACAAACCCACTTAGAAACAGCCAAGTGCTTCTTTCAGGCCCTTTTTACCCAACTAACAACTTCTAGAGCTTTTTGTAAGCAAATATTCATTAGCTCGATAGCTAAAGTGGTCAAATCTGCAGGCAATGCTCACATCTAACAAATCAACGGTTGATTGCTAAAAATGAGAAGATGTGTTTTGTTAACTTGTTTAGAGAGTTCTTAATCAGTATATCAAATTATAACCACATTGATTAAAGATATAAGATATATTAAATATGAAGCCAACACATCTTTCCATCCCAAGTTGTATAAAGTATACCTGAAAATATGTCAAACTTATAGATGAAACTAGTCTGTAGGTTATTGACTTCTAAGTGTCTGAGAGGAAACAGAGACATAGGCCATACACACAGAGCAGATACAGGCTGTTAAACATTAACAGAACACCTGAGCAGTGATCTACTCTGCTGTTCGCTCCACACTTAACACCGTCTGAAGCTTCAGGTTTAGCTTTGTTTTTCTTTCTTCATAACTCTGTTTTTCTTCAGTCACAGCCAAAGGACCAGCCATGGGGAAAGTGTGTGCGGCGGTTTGCTGTCTGCTGCTGAGCGTGGCAGCGGTGACGGCCCAGGCAGGTACTGTTCCACATTTACTGATGATAACAATGAAGACACAGATAGCTCTTAACTGAGTCACACCAGTGCTGACATTATGAAAGGAATAGAATATAGCCGTGTCACTGAGTGTTTCAGAGATTTTCAATAGCAATCAATCGGCTTGTTTTCTTATGAACACATTTATGTATAAACTTCAGAATGTACTGAAATTGAAAAATATATGTTAGTTTATGTGGTGGAGTTTAAGTGGTGGAAGAAGTACTCAAATATTTTACTTCAGTTAAAATATATTTTGTAGAAATATTGATGTATTCAAGGTATTTCCATCATAACAAACACACAGTTAAAATAAATAAAAGTACTCACTATGCTCATTCGTTTTTCACAATGTTGTAGCTAAAGGTGGAGCATAGGGACTGCATATGTGTAGCCTCATCTACACTAGAATAATATGCCATCATCGTGTTGAATATATGTTTTTGATTTGAGTAAATTAAGAATCTAGTAGAAATAGAGAGTAGAAGAAAATACCTTTAAGTAGTACTGCTCTTGAGTACTCCTCACCACTGAATATCAAGCAAGAGAGAAATAGTCTTTCAGGAGATAACACCGGCAATGTTCGGCATGTGTACCAGAGAAAATACTATAACAATGAACAGATAGTATTACCATATTGCTTTTGATCAATGTTTCAGCTCTACAATATTAGTGACAAGTTGGTTGAAGTTTTGCTTATATAAGTGTACAAGGAAGCCGTTTTTATTTACTGTTAATATCATTATTGGGGTTATATAAAGAAGACACACGTTGTGAAACGAGTTAGTCGTCTCTTATTAAACCCAACACTGATTAATGTACTGCACTTCATTTCAAATGTGTGCTAGTGGTATTTTATTATTTTAGTAAATCTATTTCCCTACATTTTAGTGGGAACATTATACTTTTGACTTCACTATTATCACTTGGGTCGTGCAGGCATGTCTTGGAGGTAATGGTTTATAGAGTTATGCTGACCTCTGACCTGTGTCTGTGTGCAGCTCAGAGTGATCGAGCGCTGCCTCAGTGGCTCACCGGCATCATGGCCCTCTGCGGCTTCCTCTTCCTGTCCTTCGTCGGGTTCCTGGTGAAGAAGGCCTGGTGCGAGGAGCCCAGGTCAGAGGAGAGCTACAGAAGCCTGCATCATGGTCAACTCAACCAGTGACCGGTTTACCGGGGGGGGGGCAGTTTTTTTTAATGTGAGGGGCACACTCAATGGGGGACAAATGAGAACAAGACAATGTTCAAGAGTATAGCACTTTTAGTTCAGTACAAGAGAAGAATAGAATAGAAAGCCCAAACCGGGCCACAAAGGGGTCAAAGTTCAGTGTTACAGGGGCACTTCACTTTAGAATTGTAATATTCTTAAGGTTAACATTTACATAAATCAGTCAGTTAATCAAACTAGGAAAGTTAATCAACAACCTTCCATTGAGCAAACATGACAAATACTCTCAGTTGTGTGTCCCAGTACAGCGAACATCTGAACTCTGGGCGCTTTTGAATGATTTTATAAAACGTGCAAATAGAAATGGATACAACATTTAAAATAAGTAATTTAATATTTATATTAATCATGATTTGAAGCCATATACTGAGAAAATAAATGCAAAAAAATCCGAAATTTTTTCAGTTATCAGTTTTTGTGTCAGGGGATTATGACCCCGGTATATCTATCATCTTCATTTTCTGATCAAATGTATAGATACATCTTATTACCTTTAAAATAATGCATTGTAATAAAGTGCATCTGTCTGCAGGAAGAAGAGCACTGTGAAGTCGGTGAGAGAAAATGATTACGTCATGACGGAGGAAAACGCGTACGAGACCAGCCTGGACATTGTCAGGTAGGAACAACCCGACTAAATCATTAGCATGTTCTCCCCCCTTTACCTTATTCTTTATGAACATTTTTCTGAGAATACTTACACACTTTTACTTAGTGGTATAAGTGATGTTATTTAAGAGAAGGATATGAATACTGATAACTAAGTTTTATTATTGCGTGTGTCTATTAGAAGCAAAGAAGACAGGAATGCTTATGACAACGTGGTGATGGACAGCACTGAGGACAAACTTACCGCCATGTGACCCTCCTGCCCTGATTCTATTGGCTGCCGTCCTCACCAACTCTGGACAGGGAAAAAAATACCTTAACTGCTGTTCGTTTTTATTTTTAGTTGATTGAATCATTTACCTGGCTAACAAATATCTTCTAAGACTGTTTGATTTTTTAAATATTTAAATTATATTATATGTATTGTTAATACTTTTTGTGTTAATCAGTTAGTGTATCAGCATGTTTTCAGTCCCCTCTTGTGATTTGGAGCAGTGAACATGAGGACAAGCAGCTGTCCATCCCATGATCTTTCTGCTGATTAATAAGTTATGTTTTCTAACAAACTGCTGTGTCGCCTCCTTTCTGATCAATGGAAGACTGACCTGCCATTATGAATGAAACACTCAGACAGTATGGCACATTTTACAATAAACAGTGAGCAGTACTGATCCTGGTGTGTGACTGAATCAGAAACTGATAGTACAACACACTGACCTCACACCTGAAGTGGAACATACGGACACACTGACCTCACACCTGAAGTGGAACACACGGACCTCACACCTGAAGTGGAACACACGGACACACTGACCTCACACCTGAAGTGGAACACACGGACACACTGACCTCACACCTGAAGTGGAACACACTGACCTCACACCTGAAGTGGAACACACTGACCTCACACCTGAAGTGGAACATACGGACACACTGACCTCACACCTGAAGTGGAACACACGGACACACTGACCTCACACCTGAAGTGGAACATACGGACACACTGACCTCACACCTGAAGTGGAACACACGGACCTCACACCTGAAGTGGAACACACGGACACACTGACCTCACACCTGAAGTGGAACACACGGACACACTGACCTCACACCTGAAGTGGAACACACGGACACACTGACCTCACACCTGAAGTGGAACACACGGACACACTGACCTCACACCTGAAGTGGAACACACTGACCTCACACCTGAAGTGGAACACACGGACACACTGACCTCACACCTAAAGTGGAACACACGGACACACTGACCTCACACCTGAAGTGGAACACATGGACACACTGACCTCACACCTGAAGTGGAACATACGAACACACTGACCTCACACCTGAAGTGGAACACACGGACACACTGACCTCACACCTGAAGTGGAACATACGGACACACTGACCTCACACCTGAAGTGGAACATACGGACCTCACACCTGAAGTGGAACACACGGACACACTGACCTCACACCTGAAGTGGAACACACGGACACACTGACCTCACACCTGAAGTGGAACACACGGACACACTGACCTCACACCTGAAGTGGAACACACGGACACACTGACCTCACACCTGAAGTGGAACACACGGACACACTGACCTCACACCTGAAGTGGAACATACGGACACACTGACCTCACACCTGAAGTGGAACATACGGACACACTGACCTCACACCTGAAGTGGAACATACGGACACACTGACCTCACACCTGAAGTGGAACACACTGACCTCACACCTGAAGTGGAACACACGGACACACTGACCTCACACCTGAAGTGGAACATACGGACACACTGACCTCACACCTGAAGTGGAACATACGGACACACTGACCTCACACCTGAAGTGGAACATACGGACACACTGACCTCACACCTGAAGTGGAACACACTGACCTCACACCTGAAGTGGAACACACGGACACACTGACCTCACACCTGAAGTGGAACACACTGACCTCACACCTGAAGTGGAACACACGGACACACTGACCTCACACCTGAAGTGGAACACACTGACCTCACACCTGAAGTGGAACACACGGACACACTGACCTCACACCTGAAGTGGAACATACGAACACACTGACCTCACACCTGAAGTGGAACATACGGACCTCACACCTGAAGTGGAACACACGGACACACTGACCTCACACCTGAAGTGGAACACACGGACACACTGACCTCACACCTGAAGTGGAACACACGGACACACTGACCTCACACCTGAAGTGGAACACACTGACCTCACACCTGAAGTGGAACACACGGACACACTGACCTCATACCTGAAGTGGAACATACGGACACACTGACCTCACACCTGAAGTGGAACATACGGACACACTGACCTCACACCTGAAGTGGAACATACGGACACACTGACCTCACACCTGAAGTGGAACATACGGACACACTGACCTCACACCTGAAGTGGAACATACGGACACACTGACCTCACACCTGAAGTGGAACACACTGACCTCACACCTGAAGTGGAAAAATCATTCATGGAATATTGTGTTCTCTTTATGGTTTCATTATACATAGATCATTTTTGCACAAAACAAACAGAGTGGATGCTCAATAATTAGAACAGACAGATACTTCACAACATGTCTCTGTTACCTCAGAGGCTTCAGTCTCTTTGGATCATTATATGAAATCAAACTGAGCAGTTTTAGTTTTTCACTGAGTGATAGACAGCCTTAGCTGGATGTCTTTTGAAAATGTTAAAGTGACATTCGAGTTGTTTAATCCTTTTTATCATTTGTATTCTTACAGGTTTCTGATGTACTATTTATGCACATTCCTCAAAAACATTATATTTGGACAAATAATATAATTGGAGTCTGACTGATATATTATTCATCATACTCATTAAGTATAAGGGTTTATCTGATCAGTTCATGTGAGCACACAAATGTTTATTTGACTTTTCAGCCGTACATTTAGTAGATGATCAACATTTTAGAAAAAAGAAAAGACAACAAAGTCTATCAAATCTGTTTTGGGAAAAATTCAGTTTTAGTTTGGAAGGTCTTTTTGGGTTCAGCATGCGAGACACAAATACATCATTATTGTAACAAAAGACGAGGGAGTACAAGAGAAAGACTGACATTGATGGATGTGTGGTGATTAGATTATTTTTTCAAGGGACTTTGGTACTGTGGCTTCCTGCACTGACAACACCAGGAAACAAGAGAAAATCAAGTCCTGTCCTGCACCACTTTGCTTCAAACTGCAGCGTGTTGTCACCGAGTGTCACATCAGGTCCTTTTTCCTGGTAATTTATAAAGATTGTTCAGACTGGATTAACATTAAAGGAGGAGGCAGATAATTACATTTTCACTGTATAGTAACTCATCGTTCAGGACATTGTAACAATGGTGAAGTGACAGGATATTAATATCTGTACTGCAATAAATTAAACAAGAAAAGCCTTAAAAATAAGGGAGTTAAATGGAAGACAAAATATACTGCAGGAGGTTTATTTGCCTCACACTTGTCCTGTTCTTCACAACTCAGTGAAATGTGAAATATTGATATCATTCAGTGTGACTAACCTTCCCGAGTATATCGTTACTTCTGATGTCCCTCCAGAATAAACATCCAGAAATCCACTTAGGCATGGAAAAAAGACGCTTGAGAACTTGCCATCATGTCATAGGTTATTTTTCTTTTGTATTACTCCAGTGACAGCTATGTGAACATAGTTCAACTGCAAATAGAAGTAGCTAATAGATAGTTCTGCTTACTTAGTGAACATTTGACAAAATGTTAACAAATGTAGGGGATAAAAAACATTTTTATATAAACAATGAAGGGTAGGCCTACGTTAGTAACCAGAGGCACACTCAATAATTCCTTCCCCTTGCATGTCCTCATAATTTCCTTTTAGCAGTTGTACTTTTCGAAAGAATTTACTTCAAAGAGTGTGTCTATTCATTATTTTTTTATTGTGCTCTGACTACAAGATACTTTTTTTCTGCAAATAGTACCAATGACATGAGATGAAAACTCAGGAAATGATTAGGAAATTACGTAAAATAAAGTGCAACCTCAGCTGGTTTTTGGCAGCGACTCTGAAAGAGACCGGTGTGAAGGCTAACCAAAGCTGCAGGGTTTCAATAGAGGTTTCTGACTGTTCACACAATTATTCAGACACTGGCACAAACAGATCGGTGCTCATTATATTAACAAAAAAAGACATCGTTAATTTCCGGCAAAATCAAAAAATAAATGACAGTTCATCAACTTTGACACCTACAAATAAAAGTAGCAAAAATTAAGACAGTAATTATGACAACAAAAAAGCTGAGCATTTTGTAATTGATATGTTTATCACAGGACCCTGCGGATACAAACTGTTCTCCATTCTGACGCCTACAGCTGCTGCTAAATACTTCACTTACACATCGAAATATCTGACCAGAGTACTGTGGTACCAGACTAGATGTTAGCAATACTAGAAGATGATGTTCCGAGGAAACAACTACCTTCTCGTTGTAGAATTTAAGATTAAAAGCAACAGTCTGACATGTTGGACCGTCCTCTTGTTCTCCCTCTAAACTAAGGCTATGTTCATTAGCTTTTTATGGAAACATACCTTCTCAAATCTATTAGGGATAGCTTTCAACATTTATAAGTAACACAGGTTATATATAAATATTACTTAGTTTAAATGAAGAAAAGGGAACATTTTGGGAGTTTAGAATTTTAGCCAATTGATGTTGTCTTTTCAACCAGTTAGCTGTTAAAGCTAAAGTGTTGTTGAAGGGGTTTTTCCGTCAAAGAAGCTAGGCTAATAGATTCCTTTCAGTCTTTGTGCAAAGCAAGGCTAACCAGAGATGAAACTGATATCTGAAACGACTAAGTGAAGATCCCTTTACTTTGTCTGTCTGTCTGTCTGTTGCTTTTATGGACGTCTACATCTAGAAAGCCAATATATAATCTCCACGGATCATTGTTATTATAACTTTTCTGTCCATGATAACATCATGTGGAAGACACTGTATCTGTTGCTGGGGCCACAGGGGATCTCCAAGCCCACCAAGTCCTGAGAATCATCTCCATGGAGACACATTAGCATTAACATTTATATAATGTTCTCTTTTGTGTGTCAGTATGGATTTATTACTGGAAGAAAAATGTGTTTGTATGAGAAATGAAAAGTTTATCAAAATATAGCACTTTTTATGAGAACCGAATAATTCAATCAAAAACTTTAACTAAACTCTGTGATTAAACAGAAAATGGATGGAAAACTTCAGGATATGTTTTGTATACATACTGTAGGGAAACTTTATCACATCAAACAGTGTCTCTATTACGGATCATTGTTTTCAATGTTCAGTTTGGTTTTTGTTTAATATCATTTTCAAAATAAGAAACTTAAGATTTCTCTGAAAATGTTGAACAATAAACCAAGGACATATTCCACAGAAGAAAGACGTGTGTAATCTGATAACGTAGTATTTTTAAATGTGTAGAAGTCTGGGACTGCAATGTTAGTAACATTTTTCAATTAAATTGAAATGAAATATTATATTTGTGCCAAAGATGTAGAAGATATTTTAAATTAAAGTCCCACATTTCCATTACCATGTTTGAAAATACAGTGTTCTTCCATTTTGATGACTAGTTTTCTTATCTATAATAGCTGTTTCTGTTATAGTGTTGGAACAATCAGTGGTGTTAAAGTCTACACTCTCCCTTCTGGTGGCTTCCATATTTAAAGTAGCTCTTCCTCTGAGGCAAACACTTCACCAGTCTTGGACCACAGAGGAGATGCTAAGCTAACGTGAGCAGAAGTGTCAGAGAAAACATATTTCCCCTCTGGATTATAAAGTTGTCTCTGTGTATGACTGCACCAGCACAGGTTGGATTTACATGTGACTCCATGTTGATAGTGTTTTGTTTTTAGATGTTATTCTGAGTTGGTAGTGTGTTTAGTAACAGAGTTTCTGAACCTTTCTGTCTGGGGATGCCATGTACAAGTATTTCCATTGTTGTGGTTAGCACTAGCTAACTAAAACGTATTTGAGACCGTTGGATGGATTTGACATTTTGCCATTCATGTGACTCAGATGATGAATCCCACAGACTCTATGGTGTCACCATGAGGTTATGGTTTGGGCTCAAATAGTCCATCTATTTTATGGATAAGATGTAGTTCAAACATTCACGCTAAAATGTGTTATAGTTGTCGAGTTAAAGATGTTTTGGTGTCACATGTTTCTCAGGATCACATCTATGGCCCCCGACCCCAAAGTTAAGAAACTCTGTTTAAGGTATTAAAGTAAGACACACAGACATCGGCATGTACCGGTTTCACCCACAGGAAGTGTGTGTATTTTGACACCGTCTGATGCTGTTGCACGATGGAAAGTTCAGAGTTCTTGATCCACAATTATTCGTAGTCCAAGAGTCAAAAGAGTGTGTATGCATGCAAAGTGTGTGTGTGTGTGTGTGTGGGTGTGTGTGTGTGTGTGTGTGTGTGTGTGTGTGTGTGTGTGTGTGTGGGTGGGTGGGTGTGTGTGTTATGACAGGATGTCCAGTGTGACGGTTCCTCTCTGTCTCTTCAGGATGCTGACGGCCTGCTCGTGCGTGGCCCCCTGCAGACTCTCTCCATTCACAGACAGGATCTGGTCTCCTCGCTTCAAACGCCCGTCCACAGCCGCCGCGCCCTGAAACACACCAACACACCAACACGTTGCATTAACAGTGTTGGGGAGACACTCATTACATACTTCCTT